AAGGCAATCGAAAGGAATGTTTCCTGTCGACGTATGATTCGTAAAGAAAGGATCGCGTAACGTGGATCGCGTTAACTCTAATTTCCTGTTATTCGGTCTCTTCGAAGCATCGGTAATTCGCTATAACCGGTGAAATTTCCGTGTCTCGTTGATCCGAATAGCGGTTGGTAGAAGAAACGCGCGACCGTGCAGCTCTCGCTCGAACAACCGGAAAACGTTTTACGTTATGTCGTACAAGAGTAACAAAAAATACGCTCTCGATAATATCTATCCTATTCGAGCTTCAAAGTTTTTATTAGTTAACTAAAGCAAGACGCGAAGATAATGACAAGGAAACGAGGAAAAACACAAGTAGAAACGAGCCAAAGACGACCATGAATCCGTTCCAGTAAAAATAAAGAGAGCAACGGTAAATTGTATCGACCGATTGTAATTTCACCATTAACGTCGTGAAATTGCACGGTGGAACCGTTCGGTTTAACCGGTAAGAATGACATCGCTTCGGAATATCTGGACCGCGATCGCGATGGTCTTCGATTGCAAGTATTTCGTCGATGCGTAGACGACTTTCGTGTTAGGAGTTGGCTACCTCGGTTCGAAGCGCGGTAAAACGTCCCGATAATACTCGCCTATGACACAATTGCATAATCGGCCAATCGACGCGACGCGACGCATGCAATCGTTCACCTAGAAAAAAAGATCGATCCGCTTCGTGACCGGATCGTTGGTTAACCGAGTAAAATTTCCCCTAATTCGAGAAAGCCTGGTAAAAAGTTAATGTCAGTCCCCGTCAGCATCCGTTGCCGGGAAACTTGGAAGTCGATCGGTATTAATTGGTAACCACGTTTCCTGTACACACGCAAGTCGTGCATGGAATAGCAGCAACTGCATTCGTTAAGGCCGACTCGTCGTTAAGGCGAGTCGCGTGCAGCTGTGCGCGGGTCAAGGAGTTCGAGTGAAAGTATTAAATATCAGCGTCCACTAAATAGCAGTATCTTCCACGCGTCCCGTAGCGTCGCGGCGCGGCGTGGCGCAGCGGATGCTTGTTTCTCGCGCGAACCTCGTGACGATACCATTCGAATGCATTACGAGTTACGAGCATCTTTTCCACGCTATCGCTGCTCGAAAAAACCCAAGCTGCTCGATCCGGTCGATGAACTTTGTCAAAGTTGGCGGTAATTGAAAAATTTGTGCAACCGTTGTCGTTCTTTCGATGCCGGCAAGGAAACTTCACGCCGAAAGCCTGCCCGTGAAACTCATTCTCCTGTAATCATCCTCGCTTCCACCGAAGGATAAGAAAGACGAGTCGCGAAAGAAAACTGCAAAGAGTTTCCAGCCAAAGTTTTCCGAACTCTGCGGCAAACCAATTAATAAAGATCAGTGGATTAAATATTACTTTCGACTGCGCTGAAATGCTCCTCGATCGGTCTGAAATCGATCGTTCGCTTCCGGCTACCAAGTACGAACCCGTTTCGAGAAATTTGAAGCTAGCAAATGTCTTGTTCCATGGAACATCGTTCTCGCGTAATCGTTGCAGTTGTACGCAACAGAAGCAACTCCTTTGCGTAACAACGAAACGTTTTTGCAATACAACGCAACGAAACGCGATTCGCTCAACATTTTCCACTCTGCTTCACCTAAATTACACGCGTTGGGGACGAGGACGCAACTCGGTGCATCTTCGAGTTCGTATCAGAATCTTTTGTGCCTCTCTTCTGGTAGATCTCGCAACAAACTCCTGCGGTGTAACCTGCGGGAAAACGATCCCACGATCGATCGCAACCCGTTACAACTAACGTTAATCGTGCGCGTTCATCTCGACCTCTTGAATCTTGGAATATTTGGCAACGATGGCAACTGGCTAGGGAAAATTGCGTTTAAAGCCTATTCCGAAACCCTGGCAAATTTTTAATCGCGCTACGCCACGGCCGACTCGACCAATGGCCAATGGCCTAATGGAGTATTGGTCGTTGGCGTAAACAGGTTCGCAACGCGAACAGAATTCCAGCGGAAAGATTTCTCGTTGGGACGAAACGTTCGAACGTAATGAACCGGATTTCGTGGTCTCGGCATCTCTCGCAATTTATGAACAATTAAGATTCATGGATTTTCTAGGCGAAATCTGTGTCAGAAAGGCGCGTCCACGGGAACCTTTCCGAGATCCTCGTAATTCACCTGGAGATATATAGAGATATCGCAATCCATAAATAATCTTTCCCATTATTTCGCGGCTACACCATGTTATCGTTCCATGCGGCTGATTCTATGCATACTTAAGTGTCTTTTATGCAACAAAACTGACACGCCTGAGTCATATGAACGAAGATAAAGCAACCCGTTGAACGACCGTTAACGACTCCCGAATAGTTATCACCGATCAAATCGCCATCTTCAAAATACAAATCTTGCACCACCTACACCCATACCGCGCTCATACTTTTTCTACTGTTTACAATCTTACAGTCTATCCAATCGTATCGCTAGCCTATGTTTATCGGAAAAATGATAAAACACCGAATATGAAAATTCATCTTCTTATCTTTAACGCTCGCCATCGTCAACCAATACTAGGATCCCACGCGTCGACGATGCCGACGTTTACGCAAGAGAAAGTATTCGTTGACTGGCCAGCGACCCCGTGCTACCAATCACTTTCGCGTTATGTGTCACGTCACACGACGCTAGTCGATATCACGGAGATCGTGATATCGTTAGAGTGTCGGTGTTGACGACGCCAACGATTGCACCTTACGCGCGTAAACACCGGTGCTGTTATCTAACAAAGAAAGGATCGGTTAACCTGTAAAGCAGGAAACATTGTCCTTTCTCCGCTTCCGGTACGATTAGTCCCCTAAGGTTCCCCGAATTTTCCCGAAATGTATTTGTTGTTGTTGTTGTTTAAGTTGTTTCTCTTACTCTTGCCTACCGTGTCCTCGGATCTACTTTGCGCTATCTGGAGCGTAGCAAGCCAAAGAAGAAGGAGAAGGAGCGAGAACAGCGAATAGAAAGGTGCGGGTTCGTAGTGGTAAGCCCGGTAGAGAACTCGTTGGTAAGACTACCTGTCGGACTTTTCGCCGCAAACACAGGGCAAGTCTGTGTCAAATCATTGTCGCGCAGACGGGAAATCGGTTGCCGCGATGTATTATCACGAAAATTTGAGTTGCCCCTTAAATATCACCGACAACTATAACGTATCCATGCCATGTATCACGATCGTTGAACGTAGAATGCAAACGAGAGAAAAAGATCGCGAGCAAGATCCGTGCGTGAGTACGGACAGTATATAATTACTAGCCGTTCTTCCTACCCCTTGACGTCGGCCGGCCGAGGAAGCACAGAAAGCGGTTACTAGGTTGAACAGAAACCTCTTGATTTCTGTTGAAACACAACCGTTCCGTATACCAGTCCAGCCATGAAAGAATCGAGAGCAACCGAAGCGATGCCACGAAATCCTACGATTCTACGCGCGTTCAATTCTACAGTAACTGTGCTACTCGTCTCATCTCGTCTCCAAATATTGGATACGTCGATGAGATTGTCGAAAAATGATAACTCTAAACCGCGCGGCAGTGAAAGTGCGAAAAGAGCGAGAAAGTCGGTCGAGAAAGATAAGACACAGCATTGGGAACTATGTTCTTTGTTTGCGACAATTACCGATAATTGTTCAACTATCCTCGTATCGTGGATGCGAATACATACATTCGCCGGCACGACATTGAACGAACATTCGTCGATGGAATCGAAGAAACAAAAGAGAAAGAAAGTTGTAGCCGAATATTACCGTAATCACCGTTAGAAATTCCGTAATAATGTTCCTTCTTTAATTTTACTAACAACGGTACGCTGCGCCGCGCCGCGCCGCACCGTCGACCATTTTCGTAATTATTTCGCAATTATCGCTCGCAAATGTAGGCGAGATTAAACTTAATCACAGACCGCGAGACTCCTTACAGCGAGGAAGAAAGATCCTTCTAGCGGACGGCCGCGGCACGTGCAACCTATTATATCGGCACTGCGCGACGCAACACGACGCGACGCCGATGCCGACGCCGACGCGCTCACTTAGGAGTGACAACTAACAAACGCAGTCGACCATTGTTACAAAAGACAATGACCAAATGACGCGTGTAATCGTTTCTGTGTCTATGTTCGAATCGCAGCTGCGACAACCTGTTCGCGCGTCTCGTCGAGATAAGGGGAGGGCAGCTGCGCTTGGTTCGCGGTCCTCTCCACGAGCGCTACCAACCAATCAACGAATACGCGTACACGCTGTTTCCAGAATCGGAAGGTATTCGTAACGACCTCCGTATCACTCATTCGCAGGGATATTATCCGCCTACCGTGTATGGGAGTTTGGGAAAAATTTCAATCGAACCGTGAGTTTCAATGGAATTTTAATTCGCGAGCCGCCGCGCCGTCGACGTCGGCGTCGTCATTGCCGTCGCGTATTATCGGCCGGAATTAAAATTCCTCGCTCACGGATCCACGTATTCTGACTCGGCTCTTCCGTAAAAGTTTTTATGTGGTCGAACAAAGTTAGCCGGGGAAAACAAAGTTTTCCGCGGATCATCAACTTGTTCGAGCTCTCTTTCTTGTTTACGCGAGACCGTGAACGAGAAGAAAAGCCACTTTGCTTTCGAGCGGGAACTCGCAAGCTCGATGCATCTTGTACTTCCCATCTCACCGCAAACACCTATACCCTCGTCTCCAACTTGGATTCCACTCGCGATGCAAACTGTAACTGCCATCTCTCCCCGTTTAACCGTATCGTTTTTCCTTTTTGCATTGTTTCTTTAATGGAACGCGAACGGGACGCCATCGGAGCCTAATTACTCGATGATTCGATCGCAAGATAATCGACGAAACGATAGAAAATATTTGCAACGACGAAGCGAGCTTCTCAAAAAAGAGAATGGCCTGTTCCTTGGCTCAAGGTTCAATTTTCGGAAACCTCTGTCACTTTTATTTTCGGCTCGTCTCGATCAACCATCTCCCACGCGACGTAAACTGCGACAACCGTGATTTCTTTGCTTCCATCCTGATCTTACCGCGTTCCTATTTGTCGCACGGCGTGTTACCAGACCACTAAAAAACGTAATCTGACGTGAGAAGAACCGAAAAGACAGAGAATGTGGATAAAATCGTGTTTGTTTGTATCGAGTTGCATTTTCTCCTCGCTGTCAGGGACGCCATTTTCGAGTTGTCTGCAGATGCCTGAACAAAAATTGGAAACATAGATATCGTTTACGTCGTTGGTCGTTCTTCCGTATATCTTGAACACGTTGAGTCGAAATTGTTGCACAATCGAAAGCACGGAGAAGTAGCAACGAGCAGATGATCAGGTGAATTCACCAAGGTGGGAAAATGTTGAGTGGTAAACAGAAGAGAGGAACGCGACTCGAAATGAAGCAAACAGAATAAGAGGGAGAGGGAGAGGGGTAAGGAGAAAGACAGACCGAGGTATAGCAAGGCGAGCCGGTGACCGTAGTGGGATCGACAAAGCTACATGGAGCCACGACGGCCACTTTCGACGGCAGTAACCACGAAGACGCCATGACGACACCATCACCCACATTGTTCTCGACTCGGCTGTCCGCTGTCGGTCTAGTCGCAGCGGTTTTTCTTCTACTGGCAACACGTGAGTTCACCTCGTAACGATAATCCGATCACGTTTTACGACGGCTAATTCGAATCTGCGTCATCTCGATTGTTGGCCCATATTGCCGATTTTTCACGTTTTCATACAAGTTGAGACAAGTTATCAAATTTGTCACGCGGTACTGTTTGTACAGGCACACGTATTTACGAGGAACGCGCGTACAAACACGTATAGTAGTTTTAACCACCCCGTCCGCGTCGTGTCGGCGTCGATGTCGACGTCGGAGTCCTCTCGTCTCATTTCGTCCCGACGGCAACGCAATAAAGTCGATATTTGAAAAACATCACTCGCGATATGTAGTTTGTGTAGTTTCATTGCGAGAATCGATGATAAATCGAATAAATAATATTCGTTGTCGCGATGACGTTTAACGGTGGATCGAAGCCACGCGATTAGTTATGGAAGTGCTATCGCACCGATAGAGGAATTGACAGAGTAGCAAGAAAAGAAATTAAATTTCACCATCTAACGAACGATCCGGCACGCACTAATTGCTCGCGCCAATTAACGACACGGTCGCGAGATCTGCAAGCTCGTTCGACGTTGGCCACGGCGTGGCATCTCGATTTGCCGGTCTGTTTCGCGCCACCGCACCGCGCGACTTTCGCGTTCCACGCTTTTCTCCTCGGAGCATCGTTACGCGAAGAGGAGAACCCGATCCGCGAGAATAACAAAAAAGATGCGTAGAAAAGAAGACGGGATCGCGGTCGTAACGAGCTCGCGAAGAAATTCTTGACCGCTTTCCCTTGGAGAGTTTCGCGACATTCGACTCGCGAAAGTGCAACGCGATAGATGAAACGTGGTAGAAGAAAAGACAACGATTTCGGCCGACAACGTTCCCGTGGTTCACGGTCGTGGAACGCGCGGAAACACGTTTCTACGTTTGTTCGATGGACACCGTAACCGAGGCATCTGATCGGTCGTGAACTCGACCTGGCACATTCTGCCTCTTTTCATCTTACTTTTCGAAACGTACCGTTTCAATTAAAAGAGACGCTTCGACGGATCAATTGGTTCGTCCGAGAAAAACTGATCCGACCGAGGGGATCGAAAATGATCGCCCCGTATCCTTTCTTGCATGCATTATTTGGACCGCTTGCCACCTTCTCGCGTAATCCCGGTTCCACTTGGAGCGAAACACTCGACGAATAAATGGAATTTGTCCGGAACAGGCGTGTCTCGATATCTCGTCAATGATAGAATCACGACAGACGGAAAGGTGAAACTCGATATTCCAATTTAAGATCGTGGCATCGAACAAGAGAGAGAAAATATCGCCGCGAACGCATCGACCAGGACCGAGTTTTCCTTCTGGAAAATTAAACGACGCAGACGTCTTTCACCTCTTTCACCTCGTACTGTGAGATTTCAGTCCAAGATGTTTGTTTCCGAAGCATAGAATCAAATGGGTGTTTCGCTATCGTCGCGAATTCATCGGAGAATACGCGCGTTGCGACATTAGCACGAGGCGCGCATTATGTACGGTCTGGCAATTACGCTTGTTCGGCTTCTGCTTTCTCTTTCATATGGAAATGTCAAAGGTCCGATATGTATCTCTGCTGTGTCCCTCTCTCGCCCAGTTTTTCCATCACCTTAACTCGCTGTTGTTGACCTAATTTGGACACTCGTGTTTGCGAGACTCCCGATATAATTCGCGCTGCGATCGTGCTGTACCAATCGTGAATTTTCCTTCGAGTCTGTCCATCGATCTTTCGCTTTTTATCGTTCCTGTGGCTCGAGCGTTTCCAGAATCACGGCTGTAGATAACAATTTAATCGCATCCCCTCTCGGTGTCGTTACCACAGCAATAATTACGCGTTAATGGCTCGCGGTCGGAACGACGAAATGCATCCTCTCCAAGCTCGAAACCGACACTGCTTCGACGCTTTGGGTTCGCATTAGCGATTGATACGAAGCTCTGTTCAACTATGACCTATATTCGCGAAACGACTTGTGCTCGCAAACCGCATGTTCGTTCACGCTCGTCCTTTCCTGATATTCCGAAAATGCGGAAATCGAGGAAATCTGTAAACCTGTGTTTCCGTCCAACCGTATGGAACTCGTTTCGTTAGCCTGAACACTCGCAAATATCGGATGGATCAAACATTGGATTTTATATTACGTAAGGTGTATCGTAAATAGCATGTAAAATCAATGAAAAAAGTTGCCTTGTTTGACCTCGTTTCGGGTAATATCCAATTTTAAAGTAGCGGATCAACCGTTGACCCGTAATCTTGGAACAAAGTGTCGTCGTCGATCGAGTGAATCAAACTGCCGACGCGACGTAAACAAGCGTAACAAAAATTACATGCAGAGACTGACATGACGGTTCTCTTTGGAGAACGGAGCTGGTGCTGCTGTCACTGCCGGCGCGGCGCTCCTCTAATCAAACTGTCGCTCGATCGATCAAGCTTCTTACCGTTCATCGTTTTACGCTTACTTTCTTTCTTACGTATTTATCGTGAAATAAAAATCTTTCTGTATATGAAACGACAAAAATGGCATATTTGACATAAGAAACGAGAAGAAGAAATACTTTTTAACGCGAAACCATGTTTAAACTCTCGAGAAAGGTGAAACGGTGAAACGTAAGTCGTCGTCCTCTATGAAAAATAGTTGTACGGAAAAATGCACGAGCTGCCGTATCAAGATGCATAAACGAGCCGCAATTCATCCGGTCGAGGACCGTAACAACGTATTTTTGTCCAATTATCAAATACCACGAGCAGGGACAAAGTAGTACACGCCATAACGTGCACGTTACATCACCGATGACAAGCGACAGTTAACGGCACCGCGAAACGTTCGAATAGCGCAAGGATGGTTCTCAGGACGTATCTAATTTTCCTCGGATTGCCAGGATTTTTCTAGAATCTCTAAAGAGACCACGTATCGTGGCAGTGTTTACTCCAGAGTAGTGTACGTGAACGCCCGTGAAACGTCGGCGTCGTGGTCCAGGATTTATGCTCGAGCACGCATAAGTCAATCTCGTCGGGATGGACGATATCCTGTTCGCGAAGAGAGAGCCGTAACGGTACGCGCTCGATCAAAGGGTTAGATGTACGATCGATCGTCGACCGGTTCCCCTATTCGTTAGCATCTAACGCAACGATCCGCGCCGATTCACGGATCGGCCTTGACGTTCGATCCATATTTATGCGTGTTTCAACCTTGATTTCCTCGTGGCCAACTTTTACGATTTACGGAACTTGCCGTGTGGTTGTTTACCGACTTGTCCCTCCGCGTCTTTTCCTATTCACGTTCACGGATAACGGTTCGAAATCTGAATGGAAACTGGTTCGAGACGATTCACTCGTATAATGTGAGTTAGAGAATTCGTTACCAGTCGCGACACGATGAAACAAGAGAAACACGTTTGTTTGCGCTTTGCGAATAAGAAATAACCTTACCGACGAAACCCATCACCCTATCGAACGGGACAGAATCGAATCGAATCGAATCGAATGGATGGCCAACATTCCGTGATGCCACACGACACGATCCGAATTCGCTCCGCATGCCTCGCTGCGAGCGAGCTTCAGCAGGAATTCGAGGCACTCGCTTTTACATACCGATACGATTCGTAGCGATCACGATCGGCGCATCCAGGTGTCGCAAAATCAATCTTCGATTCGCGATTCGAATCTACTACCCTACACCGCAACCAATAGGATTTATTATTCCAACAAGCGTCGTTTCGAAATCGATTAGTCGTGTGACACGTTCTGGATCTTTCTTTGGGAGATGGCTTTCGTTTTCCGTTGTTTAATTATTCGGAAGGCAAATCGACGACGACGCAACCGTACGGTCAATTTCCCGAAACAGGGTCGCAAACAGAGTGAACGTTGATCGTCCTTGAATACGATGAATTAACGGGCGATTTCTTTTTTAGCTCGTATCTGACCGTTAATTCGCGAAAATTAATCAATCTCGATTATGTTCACAGAGGTATGCAGCGAAGCTTATTATGGGAAGCTTATTGGCAAGCTGTCGGAACTCCATCACGGTGTCAGCGGTGAAGTTTACGCCGTGGACGGACGAACTCTGTTCATCAAGAACTTCGCGTACGACGGCGAAGCGCCAAGTTCGTAATTAAGAACTACGTACCTACAGCGATCAAAGTTTTTCATTTTGAACCACGCGTCGATCGCGCTTGCTTTGCTTTCTCGCGGAAAGGATCGGTTACGTACATGGCACATTTCGAGTAAAGAATGTAGTAAAAACGTAACATGGAAGTGCCGTTTTAGGTTTTACGTTTTACGTTTCTACCATCGTGATCATGTAGCGGATTCGTGTCTTTCTTGGTCGGCAATAGTCGGTATCCGTGTCGAGTCATGTTCCTGTTCACGACCAATTTCAAAGTATCTTCCGGTGAAAAGTCGATCGCGAGATTCATTTGTCATAGTTCCTCCAACTTTTTCGAGTCTTTCCAGAATCTTCTTCGAACGCAGAGAAATCCAATCCGAGTGTTAAAGTTGAATCAGTCGCGACCGTAAAAGGTTCTCTTATGTCTCAGTTTCGACTCGTTCGTTACTCTCACTTTCCCGCGTACACGCTTACCGCGACCGCACCGCGCCGCGCCGCAGTTCGATAAGATCGAAAGCATTTGTTCGCGAAGGACGCACTGGCTCGCAGCAACGCTCTATAAAATTAGCGGAATGAAAACTGTCGGTTTGTTGTACTTTTAATCGTGCTGATTAATCATACGAGGATACTACGGAAAGTGTTCTCGCGTTCCATCGACGCCGCCACAAACACCAAACTATGTATATGTTATCCCCTTTCAGCTGCTTACTTTTACGTGGGAACTTCGAAAAGTCCCAATGGAAATGGCATCAGGCTTCGAGACGAGAATGGATCGTGAGTGCATATAGTGTTTGTTCCTTATCGATACTACTATATAGAGTTATGATTAGACATGTACGATTTTCTCAATTTGCAACAGAACGGACACGCTGAAGAGATATCGAAGGAAAGACATCACGCTCACGCTACCCGACGGCAAGACTCTGAACAACATAAAGTGGTTCTCTGTGTGGTGCGACGAATACGCTGTGAGTAACGTATATTCATTCATTGACAACGCAACGTAACGTCGCGTCACCAAAGATCGTTCCCCAAGCCGTTTTTACACGTTTAACTTTTCTAAACGATATAAAGTAGCACCCGACGACTATACGGCTACGAGCAACTATTTAGCCGGCACGTTGCGGTCGAGTCTCTATTTGGCTCTCGATTTAGTTTCGGTGGTAAGAATATAGAAAGTCGAAATAAATTGTGAAAATACTTTGACGGTAATATAAATTATATCATGCTCGTGACCTTCGGTGTCACGTCACTTCTACTCGAACGATACGGGAAACCGGTTTTCAGTAGTTTGCTTGCCGTGCAACTTTCACGTTCGTAGTTATCGCAACGCGTGCCAGTAGAAGAAAGGTAACTCGATGGAAAATTGTCGAATTGCTGAAAAAAGAATCGAAAGTTTAATTTTAACTCGAAAAATTGAACATCGAGAAAACATCGGTCGGTGAAACGTGGTTGCGATTGATTTATCATTGAATAAATGTCAAAGGGTTCTCGGTAACATCAAAGGACATAGACATAGACGTACGTGCGCGAAAAAAAGCTCGTTACAAGCTCATCCATGACAGTTCGTAGTCGTACAGTTGGTCGATTTATTCGATAGCAGATACACCGTAATCTCTGTGTACGCGCGCACGTATATGTAATTTCGAAACGATAAGTTTGATCGCGATAGAACGAGAGCGAAATGCGCTCGAATTTGGTCACCGAGCGGCATTGATTTTCGAAGCTTACGAGTCGGGTCGCGTTCCGTTCTCTATGGTTACAACTCGAGTTGCTGGTAATAATGGATAATGGAAACTAATCTCTCTCGAGAAACTAACAATGTGCCGTTTCAGGTAAACTTTGGAGATGTCAGAATACCAAGAGGATTCGACTACCCGAAACCGCAAAAACTGGCGGCTCTAAGCGGTGTGCACAGTGTCAGTTCGGAACCAATCGTGGTCGTCGACGCTCAGACTCTTTTGATACCTAGCTTCAGCTACGATGGCGAAGCACCAGGTAAGCTGCATCACGATCAACCGGTCGAGTGAATATCTCTAGTTAAAGATACCGAACGGATCGAACGAGTGCATCGTCGAATTCTGTTTCGCAGACGCGAAATTCTGGGCGGGAGCTGGCCCGTCGCCGTCACCGCAAGGAATTCGCATTCCCGACGAGAATGGAAAGGTAGTACCGCTGCGTCAGTACAATCGCAAAACCATCGTGCTCACGTTACCCGGAGACCTGACGATCCACCAGATCGGCCACTTTGGCGTTTGGTGCGAGGCCTTCACCGTGGACTTTGGCCACGTACAAATTCCAGCGAGTCTTAACGTGCCACCCTCCCTGAAGATGCTCGGAGTCTCGCCGCAGGTAAGCTGGAAAGCCTTCCTGTAGTTGGTAGCTCGCTGCAAGAAGAGACGCCGGCTTGGACGTATTCAATGTTCACGGTAATATCTGTCAAATTCGTCTATACGATCAGAAAATCTTTCGGCATACGTTTCGATCATCTTGTTTCGACCTCGACGCAATTCGACGCTCGCTCTCGTTTCTCTCCATACGTTCGATTCTATTATTTATCTGGATAGTAACGCAGTCTCCAAGTATCCGTATAGCAGCAGCAACGTTCTTGCTCGACTTTTCGACGAATAACATCGTACAGACAACGAATTTCCATGCCAATCACGTTCGCGAGCCGACAGAAGGAAAGGGATTCGAACAAGCTTTTACCCGTTCTCGATCGATTTGCATCGTCTTTAGCGTCGAAACTCGATGCTCTGCGTCACGTCTCGTAAGCTTTCCTAGCTCGGAACCAACTTTTGCGTAGTTTCATATTCCGTCAACATTTCGCGAACCGATTTACTCTCCCATCTTGTTCCGTACTCGCGAATCTGCCCTTATTCCCACTCGGATAAAATGATTTTATTCCAACAAAATGTATCTTTAACTCTTGGTACATTTTTTCACGTGATTCTCGATTCGATGCGAACAACGACTCGTGCAACCTGTACGCTTGGCCGTCTAAACGTCCAGTCGAAAACGAGCCTTTCGACGAAAACAATCGATACAGACTATTGGTATCGGTATTGTTCCACAACGAATTTGTCTGCGTCAATATTTGAGTGGATATCTCAATGGTGGTTGTCAACGAAAGTCGCTAGGATAACGACGCGTTTGTCAATTTTCACGGATTTTCACCGCGTAACATTCCTGCCCTTCGTCACGGATCGCTCCGTTCCATGTTTCAACGTTCCCTTTGGATATATATACAATATATATGTATATACACATATGTCTTTCCCCAATTGCCGGAAATTGTAGATTTCGCGAAGCGAATTCACGTTGCTTGACTTGGAAATTTCGGATGCGCGTAAAATATCGCATATGGTGTCTCGATGTCTCGAAATAAACGGGATTCGAATACAAGAATTGGACCGAAATCTTGAGGCGTAGATTAATTTGAGAAGGAGGTTTCTAAGAAAATTAAACTCCGAAAGAAACTCTGATCATCGAGACGCCAAAATGTCGAAAAGATTCTGAATGTTTTCGCTTGCAAAGGCCTGTGCATAACGTCCTGCCTCTGTCCTTGTGTTGCAGAACGTGCATCGCGGAGGGCAGGGACAGACGCTCGGTCTGGCGAATCACTACGAGCTCTCTCCCTCGTCGTCGTCGTCGTCGTCGTCGTCGTCGCCGCCGCAGTCGGAAACGGAGTCGCAGTCTCATTCTTCCTACCTCGCGAGCGCGTTGTTAACGGAGCAGCAATATCAACGTCCGACAACCTATCGACCGATCCTCCGTCGAGAAGATCAGGTCCAGGTGGTTCAGGCGATCGACTATCGAATATCAAAGAACGCGCAAGCCCAGGAACCGCTCGCGCAACAACTTGGTCGGCTCCAACAAAACTCTTATCCGGAGCAAACTGGAAGATCGGCTGCGACAGTTCGGTACGACGACGACGTCTCGAATCTAGACGACGCTGCGTATCAGGAGCAGTTTAGATCCGTTGGTTCGTCTGTTCTCGACGCGAGTCAACCAGCGGACCAATCGAGATTGCGTAACCCACTAACCGGAGAACGACTAGCGAATTCGTACGCGAGGGTGTTGCGGTTCCAAGGCGATAAAAGGCTCGATTCTTTCGTGCGCTATTAACGCATTCGAATACTTGCCGTAAGCGAGCACCTAAACGAGTTCAACTCGCACCATAAATTTCCAACGTGTCTCCGCTTCGCTGGTCGCCTAATCGCTGCTGTTCCGTATCGTTCATCTATTTTGCAGAAAAAAATTATATCCAACCCGACCATCGATGTCCCCGACCTCGACAACTCGAAAACAAAAGAAACAATCCCAAAAGATTTACATATCGTACCAACCGATAAATCTCCGTCGTAAATCGGCTCGCAAGCTTCGTCGAAACTTGGTCGAACTCGCGTTTCGACAAATTAGCGAAAGTTCTCTAAGCCGGCCGCCATGTTTACCAACGAGGATTCGTTCCGTACAACGGAAAACTCAGCTGGCACAGCTGCGATAATATTAGCCGGAGGCTCGTTCGCAAAGTTTCCGACCAGTCGCGTGCAGCCACTTCGGAAAGTTGGTCGCGCGAAAGGACTAGGACAGACACGAGACCTTTGCTTTATTTATTTAACACCCCGCATCGGCTAGCCGTTAGACAAGGATTCTTTGGACGCGGATATGTTCGTGCACGAGAGATAAGTAAAATTCTTGTCTAGAGACAAACATTTGGAATAAAGTAAATTGCTCGTACAAACGATTCGCGACGTTATATTTTGTTAGTTGGTTTGAAAGATTTCTGAGCTAAAAACGAAGCGTCGTCAACCAGCAGACACGCGACATGTTACACATGTTACAGATATGGAATCACTGTACCCTACCGGTGAGGTAGACGCAGTCCGACCCACGCTTACGGACGTATGCCTACGAGGCACGCCTTTAATCTCTCCAATCCCCTCTGGAATTCTATTCCAACAGACGTACAATCTCCTCCTCGTGCAAGTGGATGCATCGTGCTCTCCTAGAACAATACAAGTCGCCATAATTCACGGTTTACCGTCTCCTCGAGTCCGCATGAAATATATGTCGATATTCCCGACGCCGACGCCGACGCCGACGCCGACCGCGACGGTTGGATATACCATGTACACAGTACGCGTATATGGGTCTGTTGCCTCGAGGCTCGTCGCACACGCTAGATCGTAAGAAAAAAATCAACTATCGTCGAGACTGTTCCGATACGTTGGCGTCGGTGGGTTGTAAATACATAAGCGACAACCATAAGAATACACCAGCGTGAAAAGAAACGAGTGTGAAAAAAAAATGATGGAGCATTTTGTTGCGATTTTGTGATTTATAAGATATTTACACAACGACGGACTCTATCGTTTAAAACCGAACCGATTCAGTTTAATACGGAAAATGGTTGGCGTTGTTACGATAACCAAGCGATCGAACGAAATTGCGAGCGAACGGCATGCGATTGTAAACCTATCGGTCTTCCTCTGTAATTTAGCGAACGAAAGGAAAGGAGCAACAGTTTTGTAAAGTCGAACACTTGAGATGAAAGAACGAGACAACGAGCGGGTTTGCGACGAGAACGAAAGCAACGAGAGCGATGCTCTATGACTGTGATACGAGGGTTAATTATTTTTATGTTTCGCGATCGAAAAGGAGAGGCACGTCGGTCCGAGAGTCGAAGAATATTTCAAGCCTAGGCCATTTCTTCCTTCGTAAGCGCGGAATCTTCCTGCATAGAGAACGATACATATATTTACAATACATAGAATATATATGTATATGTATACACACATATACACGCATACAAGATGCGATTATTTTTCTACCGATTTTTTTGTACATCTTTTCTTAAGACTTATGCGAATAAACGTATTTTTCTTGAAACACGAATCTCCTTATCTTATCTTGAGAATATGTCGACATACCTTCGTTCTGTTTCGTTTAATCGAATTCCTCGCGACGAAAGATCGTTTCGAGGACGCGAAACCAAGTTCGACGGACCGAATTGTTGTAAATACCGCGCAGAGCGATCAAGGTTGTTTCAGTAAACGAATGGTAAACGCATTCTCGTTTGATTTCAGTCGAAACTGAACTGTGAAGTTCTCGAGAACAGTCAGGCTTTTGAGGTACGATGGGCCGTTGCCGGAGACAGCATAGTCGGTCAGCTCGTTGGAAAACTTGGTGAGTATATATGTATTACCGTGCTGTCCCGCGTTACCGCACGCGCCGCACAAAACAACAAAACTTGCACAGCCTCGCTCGCTAAATCAAACACTCGTTCGTAATTGAAATAAACGATTCTTGACGCTTTGTCATCGCATCGTTCCTACCACGGATACGCAAAACCGGATATGGAATACGCGTTCCAGGGCTTACAACGCAAAATCTGAAAACCGTCTATAATTGCACGCTCCATTTGTACCCTTCGTCGAATTTAGTCGTTCTTCCGGAAAAAAGAACAAAACAAAATTGCATTTCACGGTCTAATTACCGCGTGACGATGTCCCGTTCGGTGAATTGGGAGCCACCCTACCGAACCGATCTTTCATGCATAATGAAAAATAAATTTCCCGCGGACATCGAACCGAACCGAACCGAACCGTGGGAAAATTGAGCTCTTCTATTGGACGAATCGCGCGTTAAACTATTCTAGTTATTGATTAGCTATTATGTTGAAACATAACAGACGAGGGACAATACATGTCTTTCGGAGTATCTGCAAACACCGAAAGAAGCACGATGGTTAACGGAGACGTTGTAGTCGCCTGGGTCGACAAGCAAACTCTTCAGGGTTACGCGGTCGATTATTTCTTGGACGCCAAGTCTCAATGCTCCGGTGGACGTGGCAGTTGCCCCGATACACGCATACGGGTAAGCTATTTTTATAAACGACTACTTGCACCACGACGAGCAACGGTGTCTGGATGAATGCTGAATCGTTAGATCGCATCGTCGTCGTGCAAAAGAAAGTTCTCGATAACAAGATCGAATCGCGTTCCTTTACATGCGTTAACTCGTATCGAACACCGCTTCGCAGGAGAACTCGAATTCTATTCGATTGTTAAACGCGGCGCTGGTGGATGGATACAGCATTGTCACGTATCAGAGACCATTGAAGGCGAGCGACGAGTTGGACCATCAAATCCTGACAAACGGCTCGCAAGCGATCATCTGGGCCATCGGTCCTCTGAACGAGAGACAAGAGGTCAGCTTCCACTCGGACTATTTGAAAACCGACCGCTTCATCGACTTTGGTAGACCACCGGTTTGGAATTGTCCTGTTCCAGATCAAGAGCAATCTCAGCTATTCGTGACCAGCAACGAGAAGGTGACCGGCACCCAGGTGACAACATCGTACATAAATCATACGAGACTTTTCATTCCACGAATATCATTTCTTTTTTATTTTTTTCAAAATGTTTATCAACTTGTTACTCGAAACGATCGAAAGGTTGCCAGGGTTGCATTTTAACAACGACAGATTATATCTTGGTTGAAGACTTTCAACTGTCCGAGAGATACACGCGAGAGATTAAGGTGATTTTACGAAACAGGAATGGGTTACGACTACGAAAAGACCTAAACGTCAACAAGTGACGCCTGCGCCAGCGTTAAAAACCGATGCCTGGGTAATTCCACCGATCCAGTGCAACGATACCGACGACGGAAAATTTTACGCTCAGATGGGACCAACCGGAGGAAAGCACGGATATCCTGCTATCACCGGTAAGAATCGAACGGATTAGGGATAGCTGGGGGTAGCTGTCTACGTTTAGTGAAATCGATGCTGCGTTAATTCTCTTAGGTCACGTCGGTTGGGGTATCTCCTGGTACATAAACGGGCTTCTAATTCCGGAGATTTACGTGGTCCGCGGCACTAGGTACACTTTCTTCGTGGAGGGTGGCGAAGATGTCGACAAACCTGCTCTCTATCATCCCTTTTACATAACCGACGATCCCGTCGGTGGTTATCAACACAAGACGCCCGAAGAGAAAGCTGTAAGTTGTTCATTTTCCGTCCTTTTGTTCGCGATACGAGTAGAATCGTGGCGTGGCATGCCGGTAACCGATAAATGATAGTAAAATCGATTCGATCCCGGGAAACAGAAAGTGAAGATTTTTGCGGGTGCCGAACGACACGGAGGTGAATATCGACCGACGGCCGTTGGACGTATGTGCAACTGGCTTCCCGATCAGAATCAACCCCGTTCCGACGAGTTTGCGACGTTCGGTGCTTATCAACGCACTCTAACGCTCAAGTGCGATCCTGGTGAACCAGGTCTCGTGGTGTGGACCCCGGACGAAAACACGCCCGACACCGTCTACTACCAGGTAAAGTTAAAATTTGTTGCGCGAACAATAATCGAAATGTGTAGGTACTGACGATCTCGGATGAACGATCGGTTCGCTTTAGTGCTTCACGCATCGCTACCTGGGTTGGAAGATCCACGTTCTCGACAGCTGCGACGCCGAGGAAACCGGTGCCAGCGAGACCCAGGAGGTGTACGTCGATCCGCAACAGCAACGACCGAGCGCCGAAGATCTCGAGAATAGCTCCAGCATCCGCGTCTCGAGCAAGGTAACGCCAACGGCGGAGTTTCTTCGGCAACAACTTCATCATCCTCATCGTGAATACGAGCTTCGTTATCCCTATCATTCGACGACTAACCCCGATAACGGCAATCTAAATCTAAACGCATCATACACGCAGCTACTAACGACCGCTAATAATAACAACGATTACATGCGCTTGCAATCATCGTCGTCGTACGAGGACCCGTTCGATTCGAAGCCTCCGTACAACAACCTCGGCCATGGAATCGCGGCGCCGCATCGTCACGAGGTACGCGTGAAGGAAATCCATCACGCGCACCTCGACGAGGATCTCGTGCAACATCATCGCAACCACCACCACCACCACTACCATCATCATCGTCCACAGATCGCGCCGATCTATCGCGAACAATCGATGATGGGAGGCACCAGGTTCGCCTCCCCCTCCTCGTATTCTCTTGGCAGACAGCAAATGACGGAAATCGAGCAGGAACTCCTTCAGCAGCCCTCTAACCAGCAATTGTCTAACCTCGTTGCAGATAACCCACGGCCACTGAACCACGGGATCAAATACGCTTATTCGGGTGTCACCGGGCCGCAGATCCTATATTCGAAGCCGTCGTCTCAACCTCATCGTTACGCAACCAATAATCACCATCTTTATCCGGTCCCTCATCGTTATCATCACCACCATCAGCCAGAGCAGAGGACTCAACTAATGTTCGTCAAGAGGCCGGTGCTGACGCGTCGTCCGATGTTGCAGAGTCCTCACGCGATGCCACAGTCAACCCTCCCCTTGCAGTCAATTTCGAGACCGGTCTTCCTGGAACGAAAGAAGACCGTTTACAGGCCAGCCGTTTCTACTTACAGGAGAACGATTGAGAAACCCTCCCCCGGCGGCGATATTCCGATCGCGAAACTTAACAAAATCATCGATTCCAACCAAAGAAGCAAGTTGGAAGCCAAAGTGTCCGATTCCGATGCGCTGGATCTTTCCAACGTGTTCGTAACTACCAACCTGTTAAAACCTGCTAGAAATACGGGATTCAACCCCGACTCGATAGTGATCGAGGGTGGCTTCAAACCTATCATCAGAAACGTCGAGGGATCCGCAGATGTGGCTCAAAAAAGAATCTCGGAGAGAACCGAACGAAACGACGCGCTTTCCCGAGAAACTGGGGATCACGGGCCAGTCGACAATTTCGAGCCGGTCTTTATACCTTCGCCACCTGTCCCGACGATCGACACCAACAACAAGCCCAAAAAGAAAACTGTCAACGCGAAACTGCGTTCAAACGAACACGATATGGATATGGATGTGGATGTGGATGTGAATGTGGATGTGAATACGGATATGGATATGGACATGGAAATGGCAGCCGACAGTTCAAACGCGTATTACCTGCCTCCGATATCCAGCACGATTCCCGACGAGTCACCGTCTTCATTCTCCTCCTCGTCCTCGTCCTCGTCCGAGGTACTGATCACCTTTGACGGAAAGAGACTGAAAGACTCCAGTTTGGTCAGATCGATTTCCGGGATCGAAGGGCATTCCAACGGTAAATTATCCTCCGAAATCCTCAGCAGAACCCCTCAATTTGGAAGATTTAAGGGAGATCTACCACCACCGATTCCTGGAGAGATCCGCTCGGATAACTCTCACCTCGAGAAACGTCGCGGTCGTCTGCCTTCGACGTCAACGGGTCTATCGGTACCCGAGACACGAACGATACAAAACACGAGGCTGACGCTCGTCGAAAGATCGAGAAGCTCTCCGTTCTCGGATAAATAACACTAAAGTCGATCTCAACGATCGCTATAACCATCACCGTGACTCAACGGTGCTTTTGCTCGTCAGCGCAACCGCTCAGACGATCTTACCTAATTTCCAATACCTCCTCTTCATCGTTCTCTTCTACTACTTCTACTATCTTCTCTGACAATGATTCGCCGAGATTCGCTTCTTAAACGACAAGATCCCCAAAAACACTTGGATCGATCGTATCGTTTTAAAATAGATTCAAAGATTATTGGTTAAACGATGTTTTCCTAACTGACAATAAGATACGGCCCGGCTTGGCTCACCTTTCGTCTTCAGTAAAAATTCAATTAATCGCTAACTTCATTCTCACCGTAAGCCAAGTGCAAACCATTTGCAATGGTTGACGATGGTTCGTTTGACCATATCGAGGACTATCGATGGGACACGTTTCTAATTAATCAGGGAATACATCCGTGTCGAATACTCAACGCGAGCAATTCAGACACGATCTAGGATCGTTCGATACGGAATAATCGTCAAGTTCTACAGCGACTCGACGATTATTGGAGTGTTCGTGACTTCGTAGGTAATGGACGATGATATAATCGACGCGTTAACACGGGAGAGGAATATACATAACTAACCACGAAATATCGATTCTCCATTTACTTACTCGTTTACCTATTTATTAACGGAGTATTAACCCTTTATCGTACAAGAAAAATAATTCCTTAATTACCCCCATACGATGCATCACCCAACGATTCTGTTTACATTTTCTTGATCGATCTTTCAAACTTTTATTCTATTTTATTTTCCGATCGGAAAATGTATGTTGTCAGTCTATGAGAGTTGGTTGAATTTTAGAGTGTAGACTTGTACATAAGTTAATTGTTAATAAATATCGTAAAATGAATAAGACTTTCTATTATGCTTCATATTTTTTACGAAACAATATGGAAACGAGTTGTAGGAATTTTCGAGATGTTTCGCAAAGAGAGCATCGAAAACAATTGGGACTGGTAACTGTTACGATTACGACTATAAACAAAAAGAACCAGTCCAGAAACGATGCGCGATGAATTTACCGTTCCTTGTTGAAACAATTAAATAATGACAATTTCGTCGTCGATTGCAGTAAATGCATCGAGTGATCGTCGACGATAATAGGGAAATTCAATGCGGAGGCAAGCGTTGTACGTTAAGCAATATTTTATTGTATAGAAAAAAAAAACAAACAAATCTTACAAAACAATCAGCACACTAACTACTGTACACTATCGTATGTTTACAATATAAGAGCGTACGTGCGACGATCAAACGGTCGCTAATTATTTGGCTAATTACTACGGTCGTTAAATTATTGTACGATCAGGTAGTTTCGAGTACCTGTTAACGATACTTACGCGGTGAGATTGCTTCACCCCGGGATCGTTAAAAAATCGTTCGCGAATTCTCGATTGAAAAATAACTTGTTGAAACCGTTCCAATAAATAATCTCGCGATATACCACGATAACGACGTTCTCCGAAATTGACAAAACTCCAAGGTTTCGAGCGAACTCTTGCTCCTCGGCTTGCTCTCTCCGCTTAAAAGTAGATGTCTTCGCAAACGCAAACGTCGTCGTATTTATCGTTACACTCGTATCTAACAATAAGTCGACAATGTATTTACATATGTTACAGGACTTGTTCCCACCCTTCACGTTCACAAATGCGCTCAAACGACTGGCGTGTCTTGAATGTGTAAATGATTATTAAGAAGAAACAGAATACCTTATATAAATTGTTGCTCGTTTCCTCATAACGATTATTGATCTTGTTTGCATTTAATTCATCGAATCTATATAAACGTCATCTTTGTCGGCTTACAAATTCTCTCCGTTCTCTTGTTCCTCTTTCTTCTCTTTCTCCGCGATCGAAACTTTTATTTATTTCATTATAATCGAGAAAAGAAAATTTCTCATCGATTCGTCGATGAGCCAACGACTCGTATATTCGGTTACGTTCGATTATCGTCGCATGGTTACTCCAAGTTCGGCACGCTTACAACTAGCCACGTAATTACGCGACTAATAAATGTAATACTAATTTTAACGTCAACGATACGTTCTGCGCCCAAGTTGACTCTCTTGAACGATCATTTATCTCTTAATTCACAGTAAACGACTATAAAAAATGATACGAATGAACAATTGCTCTCATCTATCGTTATGCCTCTTCTCGAGTCATACTCGTTCGCGATCCTTATAGAAACTTTGCAGAAAAACAAAACTAACCAAAGACAGATGGAAGTAAGTCAGTCTCAGCTGCGAACACAGATTATATAAAACATCATATGTAATTCCAAATTTCCAAACAACACCACAATCGTTCTCGTTTTACGAAAGTATGTACAATTCTGTTGGAGGAATGTTTCCAAGATTCAAATTAGAGACCGCTATTTGCTCGTCGTGTTTCACGACGATACAAAGGAGAAGTACTCTGCCGTGAAAATTTATTTTATCGACATATTTTCCTAAGAACACGGATACCCGCTACCCTTAAAAAAATCTATACTTTCGCGATCGCAGCTTAAAACGCGCGAGATTAGATCATTCTTTTTTTCTTAAACGGTGCTTAAAACAGCGTCATGATTGTTGGTTATTCTCTTTTTAATCGCTAAAGAAACACATAATTATTTTAAAATTATTTCTAAGTTTGGTTTCACCGTATTTCTTTCGAGTAAAAATATCGACGCGTGACTGTAAGATACTTGGACGAAAAGATCTACCTTATTATATGTAGTACAATATACATATGTATATAAAACGACGGATTCCTGACGAATCATGTTTTCAACAAGACATGCTAGAAAAAAAGAAACGAAAACAAGGCTTATCAAAAAGTATATACTCGAAAAAAATATGACTGTACGCTACCGATCTTATTATAAAAAAGAAAAGAAAAATGAAAAACGAGAAGAAAAACCGGCAAATCGTATATATTACATGTATATACGATATACATATACATCATCGTGTCATATGTATTAGAAAGAGGATTCTATAACGCAAAATTGAATCGATCTTACTAAACTACTGGCTCGTGCCAAACTATCTTTCCGCTAAGACAGCCGGATACAAGCAAACAATGTCTCGGTGAAAATTTCGTGCTAACCACGATACCCGAATGACTGACGTTCGTCGCCAATTCGTGTAGCTGCACCGATTCGTGGATGGGAGGTACACAGTTGGATAGTTCTGAACAGTCGTTGGAGAAGGCCAACAATCGTACCCCGTATCCGAATGGCGAACATATCAATCGACCATCGGCGGAGAAACACAATTCTTTGATGTAACCAGAACCCACGTTCGGTTCTTCGATATAGTGCGTTAACCTAGGCGTATTTTGGTGAATCATACGATTCCTTGGGATGGCGTACAATGTTTGCTGACCCTGTCTGTTCTGATTTTGAACCCTAGTCCTGTCACCGATAATGACGACGGTATTATTGCTCGATCTAGAAAGCCAGTCTCTTTCCCTTCTAAGTCTAGCTTCCCTGATCGCCACATGCGCTTCCCACACATCCGTCGTGCTTACGTGCAATTCTATATTACCCGTCGAGAAATTATCGATAATGTTACGCGGTCTCAAGTAGTTGAGATGAGAGTTTGGCCTCGGAGATCTGTAATCCAGTTCCAAATCTCTATCCGGATCAACGGAAGCCTCCTCGTGCGTGCTCTCGCTCTCGCTGGCATCGTACACGTCTCTATCTTCTTGTCTGGCGTCGTCTCTGTCCGCGCTTACTCGAGAGTCGCTAGACCCGGAACTCGAACTGACTTCGACCGCGCTCAGACTCGCTCTTGTCGCGTTTCTATCCGAACGAGAGTTCCTCGATTGAGACCGTGACGTTCTGCGAGACGTCGATTGCCAACCGGTTCTCGAGGATCTGGTTGCTTGCGCGTTCTCCGATGATCCGAGCGAATTTGATCTCACGTCGGACATGGTGTGAACTACCCTGACACGATTTGGACTTTCTATTAAGAAAGGAGGCGTTATACCTGAACGAGAGGGTTGAGGTTGCGGGAAATCTTCGAATTCGTCGACGATCACATCGTTGAACTGGGACGTCGTTTCTTCCCCTTCTTTTGTCTGATCCGCACTACCACCGGATACATCGCCTTCTTGTATGTCGTGTATGCATGTCCACTGTGACAAAAAACCAACAACGATACATACCAAGAGAATGTTTGTAAGAACGAATCATGTGCGAATTACATCCGTCACGTCGTTAAAACTAACCTCAGATTTCTCTCCGTTACTGACGTTCCTAGACAAAGCACACCAACCCTGAGGATGCACTTGTAAACTCGATATTATCTCTGCATCATCGCCAAACGGAAAATCTGTTATAAATTCTACTCTATTGTGTGTACGAGAATGAGAAAAGAGATGCGTGAAACTCGCCACGTTTGGTATCGTAGTCTGGGACGATTGCATCAATCGGTACATATTTGGCTGGAATAAAAATGAACTGTTATCTCAAAAGACGCACACAATGGATAAAATATAAATTCAGATTTAACTAAAAAACTGAACGCACTCTAAATCCTGCTAGGTCTTGAGATAACGTTCTTAACTTAAGATTGTGTATAATAATGAGGTATCCGGAAGTGGTACTTATTAACATCTTGCTGGCATCCGGACTAAGTCTAGTTCGCATCAGTCCATTCGTATGAAACACACGAGTATATAGAATACTATTTTCAGTAAAGGTATTAATGTCCCAAGTGTATATGCTACCGTCGAATCCACTGGTAAGTAATAAACTATCCTTGGGACTATACTCTATATTCTTAACCCAATTCGAATGCCCGTGAAGCGTTCTGATCCTCTGTTTCAAATTTCTAGCATCCCAAAGGGCAACTGTACTGTCGTCGGAACAAGTCGCAAACATACGTTGATCTAAAAATCTATCGCAAATAAAAATAAAAATTAAACGTCAACATAACGCCGTTCGTACATATTTTCTACCTACCTAACGCAGTTAACGCAATCAGTATGAGCATTTTCTATTGCGTGAATTAATCTTCTTCTCAAAGGATCGAACATTAAAATCGTTTTTCTCTCGCATGCTGCCAACAGGAGGGAACTAGAAGAGAACAAAGATACAGGTATAACTAACGTTAAGGTGCTTAATACTCGAAAGAAATCAAAGATTGAGCAACTAGTAAGAAACCTAACCCGTCGGGAGAATATTCCAGATTGAAGACTCCTCCATGCGTAGCGGGAGACAATGCATGATCCCAAGAAGTTACAGGTTGAATAGACGAGTAAAGGGTTTTGTGAAAACGATCTGCATGTCCCAGAGGGAACTTTATGCCCAATTCACGTTGCCTTAACCACAGGCTGTTTGGTTGCCTAGTTCTTATTTTAGGCATTTCACCCAGGTGTGAATCTCACCAGCATTCAATCCAATATATTCAACAGCTTACGAACAATGCTTTACCACCTTAGGAACAAAGCTTACAAAGGCGGAATCCGAATCTGAATTCGAATCCGAAATTCACGAAACTGTCTAGTCGTTTTTTTGATCATACGATGCGAATGATCGTCATTGATACCGTATCAGGATCAGTCGATGAAAATTCACGATCCTTTCTTTCACGAACGAGACAGCATCGATTCCAAAAAATTGTCCAAGTATTCAAAAACGATCGTTCGGTACCCCGAAAAGCTGAGGTTAAGTGTAAAACTGCCACTAGCAGAGCGATATTACACGTGACTCCTGACATACGCCCTCGCTTTTTTCCTCACTTAACGATCTTCGACGAGACCGAGAGCAGTGTAAATGACAAACCAAAGTGTCACGGTCGTGTGGAATGTTAAACTCCAACGGGATTTTAAAGGCACTTTAAACATCTGACACAACACAACTCAACGCCATCTTTACTTGACATCGCCATCAACGTCGCGTATGTGTATAGTGTGTACTACGTGCGTGGTGTGGTGTGGGAACGGTCAGGAATCAGGAATTATAGACGACGGATGAAAGAATTCCGCGCGAGCCTCGAATCCATCGACTAATTGTAAATTAAATACCTCGCTTGCATACAAACTAAACAAATCACAGTTTCGTTCTATCGATAATCTTTGATTATCACCTTCTTTTGTTTCTTTGCTTTATCGAATATCGAAATATCGCGTACAAAGTTAAACAGCTAATTCTAAGAATCATTGCCCATTAATAGAAAACCGGTCTTGTACTTTGTACAGAGTACGTACTGCATTCAAACGCGTCCTGTAATATCCGCAATGAAAAAGTACACAGCGTCGCCCTTCTAACATATATATATATATATATATATATATATATATATATATATTTTCAACAAAAACACATATAATAAATACCCACGAACGTAAACATGATGCATACATTTAAACTAAATTACTTGTACGTTATATTGTATAAGACATTTTTAATACATGTATAATGAATATCGTTGGTAATAATCGAGGAATATAGTTGCCTTAGGCATAAATCTCGCGTAAAGTCTATTTCCATTAATAATACATATTTCAAAGTATCGTTACTCTTCCTTATCGTAATGGATCACGCCTCTGTCGAAGTCGAGACCACTATTACGTAGATGCTTTTCGGTCCATTCGTCGAATCGTCTGGACAATTCCTCGGACATGTAGTTTTTCCAATCACCGACCTTGCCTTTCCTTATAAATTTGTCGTCTTCCGTAACGTTCTGCTGCGGTAAGATGTGCTCCATATTCACGGCAGGATTCGCCGCCATCTTGGAAAATTTCAAATGTTCGCAAAGCTCGGCAATTTGCTTATCCGTCACTCTTTTTCCCATGAATTTCGCCGTTCTTTTTATCGCCTCGACTTGATCCTAACGAATAGTATCGTTTGTATTAGTCGCGAATCGTTATTCACCGCCATAATTCTACGTAGAACTCTTGGTTACCTTTTTCATTTCCTCGTAAGTCATGAACAGTACGTTATCGTGGTTCCTCATCTCCCAGAATTGTAGTACGTGACTCCAAAACGAACCCATCGGAGCTTAAACAAAAATAAAGATAGAAACACACGAAAAGAAAAAGAAAATTCTCACCGACTGTACAGGTACACATTTAATTAAACATACGAGTATGTAATGTACGTACCACTATCCTCGAGAAACAACTCGGCAAAGTCCTCGAAGCTTCCTTTGATATTATGGAATATTCTGCAGAAATGATAAAAGCTGACACAAGTGTCCTTTGGATTTCTAGCAATATAGATGATCTGAAACGTTCGCAACGTCAACGTAACTATACAATTTATTCAATCGTGACATGTCGCTATTATTATTCTTAGGTTTTTCGGTACTTTTGGTTTCTTTTTGTGAATTTGCTGCGGCAACAATTCCAAGGGTAGGTGAGACTTGATGTATCTCGTTGGTGGCATCTTTGTAACGTTCTCGACCGAATCGCCCAGCTTCGCGAACCACTCTACGTAGTCTCCCGACACCATCAGACACGAGGCTCTAAATAAACAGTATTCATTGTATTACTAATTAATTAAAGGAATTCCGTGTACAATGTCTGTTCGATGTACGATCGATGTAAATTAAAACTCACTCGAGTAATGGATTGCGTACGACCAGAAGAGTTTTTGCAGTTTCAAGATCAAAATTGTTCCCGATACACCATACCATCTCCTGTGCCCAATGGCTACCTACGATATTCATAAACGCAACAAAAACGCTAACAACGCGAACCAATGGAACTTTCGTAAATTAAAACAGATTATTTTTAACTGGAATTTACCGGTTCGCGGATACGAAACAATCCACACGTCGTCCTCGTAAATTTCCATATCCCGTATCCTCGTTCCGTAAAAGACAAAATGGGGCGGCAATAAACAATGGCTCGGTTCTACCCTCAGAAAACTGGGTTTTACGCCAAACATTTTGTCCAATCTTGCTCCAATATCGCCTTCAACGGTAGCGAAACTGATCGGTTCTTTTTCCACTGTGAACAATTCAAATTTATACGAGTAAAAATGCGCGTAATCGTTGCCGTTGAATATACTCGATAGATTCTATGGAGTGATCACCCACTCGAAATCGGAAGATGTTCACCGCAGGATAAGATGCTGATATCGATGTTGATGCTACTGTAGCCAACGACGAAATGAATGTCACAAATTTAATCTCCGTCTCCTTACCAACGATCAACCACGGGCTCGACTCTTCTTTTAGTCAGACCAACTTTCGATTCTTGGACCTTACCGAACGTAAACGTGCGCGCACACATGTAGTCTTTCATTTCATCTACATGAATCAATAAAAATTGATTTATTCTATAAATTGAATTCGTAAGTTCCAGTATTTTTACTGGAACGAAATATAAGGAAAAATTCTCATTAAGAATTACCAGTTGTTCGATCAATTAAAGAATACATTTTTATTTCTGGTATTTGGGTTAAATCTGAATTGGGAATCAGTAACTCTCTATACATGGAAAGCTTTTAGATTATTTTTTCTGAATACATTCAGCAGTACAATACGCGTAACTTGGCTTGGTACATAACATAAAAGAGAAACACCGACATAAAATGTATATTATCGAAAGTGTAGATTATAGTGTTTATTTACAATATGCAACTTGTACATAGATACAGCGCTTCGTCCCCAAATTCTTACATTCCAATCACATTAACTTTCTCATTCAGGGAGATTTCACTCTTGGAGAAAGTTGATGCCTTCGAGTCGAGAAACAAGCCTACTCGACGCACACATATCAAACGGTACCGTTATTTTTCCAGATCGGAGCTCTAACGTTAGCTATAAAGATTATTCAAAAATAACGTTAAACATCACCAATTGAAAATTTGAAATGAGATTTTGCTTGCGTATACGGCAAATATATCGCGTGACAATTTGAATTCTAATTGCATAACCCACCCATCAATTGGTTTCAGTCAGTTTCCGTGAACCGCCAAAAAAACGTCCTAGTGGCGCCATCGGTGGGAAAAGATCAAAGTTCGTAGTGAAAATAGTTTTCGCTGTAGTTTCTAGATGGCGCCGCTAAATAAAGGGTGGTTTAGTACTGGTGGCGCCATCGTTGGAGAAACGCCCAACTTTGTAGTAAAGTTAGTTTTCATTCTAGACGATAGATGGCGACTGCTTGTTAATTGGCGTTTTCCCGATAGAGGCGCTGATCAAACTTGGAAAATTGGTACGTTGGCCTCAAGGGCTGTAGCGATGTTTGATTGCATCTACAGGACACACCTACGCCTAGGCACCTACAGGACTAGATGGCGAACGCTATTACAGTTACGCGGTGCCATCTTACAGAAACGATAGGAACTATTTTTACTAGAAACTTGGGCATTTTCTCACCGATGGCGCCACTGGTCGTCAGATACGCCAGACGTCAAGAATTCTAGTAATTTCATCTCGAAAACTAAGAGCGAGCAACAATTAACTCTGATCTTCTATCTCAGAATCAGTCAGTTTATATTCGCAAAGCGAAGACGAGTAATTACTCTCGATAGCTTACATATAATTTTATAACAAACGAAAAAACACAATAGTTATTCCTGCAAGCAACGACAATCTTTCCGTAACAGCAATATTCCTCGAGTACGCGTCAACCACAAATATTTTCCATCCCATATTCGCGTGAGTAAACGAATTGTAATAAACAATGTCCGGCCACGTCGAATTCGGCGTAACTTCCAAGATACCAGCTTCTCCTATTAAAACGATTAGAATACGTAAAGTTGATGAAAAAATTGTTAAATTTGTCAATATACTACTTACCCGGTTCGCACACATTGACCAGCGTTCTGTTGAATTGTTTAAACGTTGGAAAGTCGTCGTCCAGTCTTCTGTCTCGTTCGTTGTGTTTACTCAAGCAAAGCGGACCAACTGTAAACATCGTTCGTAGCTATAATTTTGAATTGTACATAATCGATATATCGCTACATATCGTTCGTTTTAGAAACCTGCAGTCGGTCTCGGTTGACCTCGTCTGGTGAACTCGACTCCGGCCAATACCCTAACTTTGCTCTTTGCCGCGTCGGTGAGCCTATCGTATCCGCCGTGCGGTTCATCGGTTATAATCAATGGGTGATATAAATTCGGACTGTGAGGATTGTTCCCACCGTAAATACGGAAATTGTAAGTCAATCCTCGACGGAGATACAATTCTGGCACGAGCTGACCTTCGATATACCATGCCAAACCCGTGGAGGTTTGTCCTGGAAAACGTAAAAATTGCTACAACATTCGTTGATCGATCAATTTTTTCCATAATTTCCGTACTCTAGAGTCTAGACTGTACCCGTGATTCCTTGATAACCCTTTCTTCCGCCAGACGGCCCGATCGTAGCTTTGAACGTCCGAATACTTCTATCGAATATTTCCGCCTTCTCCCAAGTTTCTCTGACAAATGAAAATGATCATCCATTAGGTACGGTTCGTTTCTAAACAATAGCTCTGCTAATTAACTCGCTAGCGGTACTCACATCAGTTCCTCGTTAGTCTCCGTAAAGTCCATACACGTATTCTCTGGTTCTTGGCGAAGCAGTTCTATCTTTAAATCGCTCTTGGGATAGAAGTCGTGAAAAGTCGGTTCCTTGTTCTCGTCCAATCTTCCTAAAGCCCACACCACGAAAACTGGCCGATCCGTGGGATACTCCTTGTCTCCTGGATCGGCTACGGATTTTAAATATCGATGAAATTTCTTCCCGGGTAGGTTTCAATCCGTTTACTTACACGAATTAAGAGTACGTCTGTAGGTGATAACGTTGATGCCATCTTCTCTCACAGCGGTAAACAATTGATTGTTGTCCAGGCCACCTAACAACTCGTCTCTACAAACTCCTCTGTATTGGCCGAGAACCTTTCCGCACTGTTTACGAAACAAAAGAAAACCGATTTCAACTATAAATTTATCCCAAGGTCGTTTGCGTTTTTTTTTTATACGTTTTATTTGCACATACCGGTGCTTTCGCAGTAACGTTGTAATCTCGCGCGTATCCTCTGGTTCCGTCCATATAAGCGATCGCAACGTCCGCACCTTCCATCTGACTGGATGTTTCGGAACCGGACAAACCGAACGACATGTACTCATTTTCGCCTGAGGAACATTGATATATCGTACAATGTTGGTCGCGACGAAAAAATTGATGAAAACAAACGACATACCGACTTGACCAGCAAGCTGAACGGTGATTTGAGGACCAAAGATCTCCCAACTGACTTGATACCGTCTATGGAGCTGAATGCAATTCGGCAAAGTCTGCGCGTGCTTGATCACCTATACATCGATTTCATCCTGTTATTCAAGAGTATTTCCGCATAAAATCGTGCAAACATGATAACAAAAGATTGAAACGATCTGTTACTTTAACAAGCGACGGTGGCACGTTTAGTCCGTCCGGAATGATAACGGAACCGTAGTTCGATTTACTCTTCACGTCGAACACGCTCAACCAGTCGATGTTGAAAACTGTCATGTCTCCTGGTAGTTGAATGATTATATCTTCTCCTTTGTATGCGCGAATTGGATCTAAACTGATGATAGAGTAGGTAGAGAGACGAAGAAAAAAGAGACTACTCGTGTCGCTGTTGGAAAGTTTCATGTGATTCTGTCCGAACAAGATGAACGACGAGTACTCACTAGCCATACTCGTCGGGAACTTTGATTCCTTTGCTGGAAGGCTGCGGGCCAAGTCCTACCCAGAAATACGTATCCGCGCCCTGACCGTCGTACGTGAATTCTGGTATTTTTATGGTTTTCGAGTCCACGATCACGATAGACTCGGAGAATACTCCGTGCGATCGTTTCGTTAATTGGGAAATCTTCTGGGGCGCGGGTGGATCGAACTCCTCGGGAATGTATACGTCACCGAACGTATTCTATCGTAAGCGTAACAAATAAACGACAGTATCAAACCGTTTTCCTTACGTTAACAAAATTGAAAGAATCGCTCGCGACGCGATACCATACCTGACTTCCCAGATCGTAAACGGCGAACCATTTGATATCCGTTATCTTTTTATTGTCCGGTAAAGAAAGAGTAAAGTCCTTGTTGAAATACCGATCGAGAACATTCGTTCTGAAACAGAGTAGATATTTTATTCCACCGATGATACGTGTGTATGTATCGTTATTTTACTAACAATAAAACGAACTAACTTGCCCCACTCGTCCGGCACGATGAACCCCTGTGGACCAGGTCTGTTCGACGCGCCAGCCCAGAAGAAGGTGTCGGCTCCGTTACCATCGTAGCTAAAAGACGTCAGCAACAACGTGTATTCGTCAACCACATACACGTCACCGGAGACTTGATGATGATACGCGTTCAGCTTCCCCAAGTACTTGCCCCTGTACTCTTCGCCGTCTTCTTCAGCGATACCTGTCGATTGTCGTCTCACCGTGATTAACAGATCGAAAGACCGCGGACTAGGTATCGTAATCGTTTTTTCGATAGAACGTCGCGAATCGAAAAACTCCACATACCGCGGTCAGGAAACAGGAACAACACGCATGCCAGAACTGTCACGAGAACACGCATTATCCACCTCGTAACATCTGCCATCGCATCATCTTCCTTGGATCCTCGAGAACAGCTCAGAAATTGTTTAAAAACTATTCGACTTTGGTTTCACTGGTTGAAAAACGTATGGGCATCCACGTATGGGTTCCTTTGTAAAACACCAGGATAAAAGCCTCGAAAAGAACAAAAGGCACGCACCGCAATGGACGCGATTCCGTCTCGTTCCGATCCGAGGACTTGTGACCACCTCTGAGCTGAGTCTCTTAGAAAGTAGACTTTGGCTGTCCGAACGGTTAGTATACCGTACGCTCTCGAACCACCTTGGCACGTGTTCGTGGCAAGGTAGAGAAAGTATGCGTGTTTCCAAGCCAACGAAGGTGGCTCGATTCGGATTCGGATTCGGTTACGAATCAATGTCCAAACACGGTTTCCAGTTTACGGAAACTTCCGGTGATCGCTAGCATGAAATGCGTGACAAAAACGGAAAATGGAAAAGTAGATTACACATCGTTCACAGTATGTCTCATTTATTTCTCGGTATTTGTTCGATGACTCAAGATCGGAAAAAAGATAGAAAGTCGATTTTGAAACGATTACGTGCCGCGGTCATTAGGAAGAATAATCCCTCTAAACTGTCTAAACACCGGATTCACCATTTTTCTAATTGTAACGGTTACGAATGTTAACTTGTTTTTACACATTTTTACCAGCTATCTCCGTTACATTTATGTTCGATCGAATGCCACGCGTATGCAATGTTTGATCGATTCCGAACCCGACAGCAAACTCGACTACACTTTTCGCTAGCACAGTTTAAAACATTTGTATTTTATTGTACTATCGTGCGCGCTGATGTCAAAGACGATATTTAATTGCCAACGAAACGGTAAGATCGTTACGCGCATAATTGTAGATGATCAGTAATTATGTTCGTTAAAAAATTATCATTCGCAGATTCGATCGACGAGCGATTCATGTGGCTTCTTAGATTCGCAAACTTGAAACAAATCAAAGACTTTCTCGCGAAGAAGTGAGTACTCGAGTACATTCACGCGATACGTACAAGCATACTATCTGGTATGGTACCGTCTCCAGTTGATGTTTCTCATCCCGATAGCAGCCAATCGCTTTGTTTGAATTATCCCACGGTAAATTTGAAAACACCGTTAACAACGACTATCGATCGCGGCGATCCACAAATTTTGACTCTTTTGTTGGAAAAAAATTCAATGGCTTTGAACGATACGCTCACACAGCCGTGCGGTAGAACCGCTCTCATGTATGCCTCTTTCGTTTCGAGAAACCCAGAGATATTGCAGGTACTCTTGAAAAAGGGTGCGGATCTTTGGAAAACAGACATGTAAGGCGAGAACATTGAAGCGACCATTTAAAAGCGACGGTTTAAAACCTACATATTTACTTGTAGCAGAGGCTGGACATGTCTTCGATACGCCATCGTTGGCGAACGATTGCAAAACGTGACGTTTCTATTAAATTCTGGCGCTTTCGTAAATCGGAAGGATTTTCTGGGTCGAACGCCCCTTATGACATCCGGTAAGTAAAATCGAGAGAAAAGGGGTAATCGTAGTTTCGAAAAATTAACACCGACTACTCGTTCAACCAGTGTACCTTTCGAATTTGGATATCCTATCGCTTTTGTTGGATCGTGGTGCTGAGATTAATATACGCGACAACGCGGGTTTCACTGCTCTTCAGATAGGAATTTTATCGAGGAAAAGGGACGCGGTGATCGCCTTAATCGAAAGGGGAAGCGACGAGAACGTCGTCACACCTTCGACGAAAGCATCGATCGACGAATTGTGCACAACTAGTATGCCGGGTATTCTACGGTGTCTTGAACGGAAATCGAAATCGAAGTCAAAGATATTATAAATACTTTATCGAAATATTTGCTCGCAAACGCTTTATTGTACAATTCAGTTTAGAAAAAGAAATGTTGCGCTGCCAATTTTTCCTTCGTCAATTGGTCGAATCGTTCGATTATGTTTTCGGACATCTCTCCCTGCCACTGATTCACTTTACCGCTTCTAATAAACTCACCATCAACGTCGATTATTTTTAGTTTCTTGTTCATTTCTACAACATCTTCGTAGTTCACTGCCGGATTAGACTTCATGTTAGCAAAACTGAGATGTTCCAATAATGTTTTTACTTGATTCGCGGACATGGTTTTGTTTAAAAATGTCGCCGATTTCTGGATGACCGTAGATAGATCCTACATTTCGAGAAAAGTATTTTTCCACATTTCTAATAACGATTCTTATTCTTATTCTTATTCTTTCCATTACATATACTTACAAACATCATGTCCTCGTACTTCAAGAATAGTATGTTGCGATCGGCCCTCCTCTTCCAAAAGTCGAGAATGTGCTCCCAGAATGGAGCGAAGCATACTACGAAAAAAAAATCGCAAACGTTAAACGATACCAAGCGATAAGTTATTCATTCGGTATATTTTATTGCATGTGTACGTCGATACATTTTTCACCCAAGAAAAGACGACAGAAAGTGTTAAAGTCGCCGCGATAACCTTCCATCAACCTGCAATGATGGTAATACGAGACACAAGTGTCTTTGGGGTTCCTAGCGATATAAACGATTCGCGGCTTTCTTTCGCCTGTTCGAAGTTGACGTGGAAGTAAACGGAAAGGCAAGTGAGTCTTGATGAATCTTGGACTGACTCGACTGCTCGCGTAGCTGACGCTATCCGAGATCAACTGGTGTAGTTTTATCTCTGGATGTCGAACCATGATCGTGGTATAATCGAAAAGTATGGAACACCTAATCGAAAATATGTATAATAATTTAATGACGATATCCAGATAATCAATTCTGTCGACTTACTCCAAGAAAGGAAATCTTTCGGGCAAGAAGACCTTTGCGCCTTCGAAATTCAAATCATTTGCGATACACCAAATCATTTCCTGAGTCCATGTTGTACCTGGTTGCATAATTTACATTATTAAATGCTATCACTAACGACGCAATCATTTTTTTTCTTTGATCAATCAAACGAAACGAACAAACAGTTACCAGTTTTAGGAAAACTACAGACCCAGATGTCGTCGTCTCTAACTTGAAAATTCTCGATCGCTTGTGAAAATTTGTCGAATCTTTGCGGCAAGCAAACGCCATTTACGGTGATGTAACCTTTGCGAAACTCTGCAGTAAATTGCTCTTTTAGAATCCGATCTAAATCATCGGCATCGTCGGTTACGATCTGAGGATCCATCTTTTTAAGATATCGGTTTCTAGCTAACTCGATCTCCGATTAATGTATTAGTTATCGCGATCAGAACGTTAATCAGAGACGTAACAACCGGTAAATAACACCTCGAAAGTGTACGTTCGAATGAGACGCGTTCACGTTTTCAAGGGAAAATCGACTGTCTCGAAATCCGTGGATGTTCTTATATAGAGCAACTGGAAATCGGGACAAAACAAGGTAATATCGTTGAAAAGTTTTTACTTTGGTATTACTTTACTGGAACAAGGTTACTGTCTATCTTTCACGGTTTTTCTCCTTTGAAATAATTGTTAATCGGCCCGTACAGGGCCGCCACGTGGGTAAGAGGCGCTTGTGTGCAAGACAAATTTACCGCCCTTTTCCATGATACATGATTGGTAAATTACACCAAATATACATTATATATTTAATGTATCTATTGAAAAATCAGTTAATCTTTCTTGACTCATTGTAGAACGTAAATAGTTATTAATCATTTCTAATTTGGAAAAACGCCTTTCTCCGGAAGCTACCGAATCAGGCAAAATTAAATAAATTAGGTTCACCACTGCATGGCAGTAAATGTTTGAAACATTTTGTCGTACAACGAATACCTTACGAGTTATTCGAGGTCGTCGTGTTACAAGACTCACCCTGTATTTGAATAAGTGAATTTTATTATTCCATATTTTCTTCATGATTTTTGACGATAGAAAGGCAGCCAAACAAACGTCCCTGGGTTTAGCAATTAAGAACGAGAAAAGTAAAATGAACTATCGACTGTTTAACGTGAAATCAATCCTGTTGCAGATTGGAGTCTAATGCGAAAAGATATAGTTTGTAACTTTTTTTTTATAAATGCTATTCAATGTATCTTGTGTTTCAAAGAAACTACATACATCTTCGACGAGATAATGAAATCTCGTTAATGTTTCGGACTCGCCATCGCGAAACGTAAAAGAATTAGAGAAAGATTCATGCACAGATTCAATTTATTCTGAATAACCAAACGATTATAATCGTTATACAAAAGGGTAAAATATTATAAAACTTCAAGGGACTATACTATCTAAGTCTTACAAGTAACAAAGGATTGTGTACTGTGATTCAGGTACTAACAACTACTTTCGTCGTTTTAAAGCATCTCAGTTTCACATGAACGAGCGATTCAGTTCGATCGAACACTTCTTCAACGTTCAGACTTGGACAACATTTTAATACACGCAACGTTTCCCAAATATATCTATCGTAGGAAAATATCTTGGCAAGACAAATTTCTTTAAATTCGATATGAATATCGTAGATACTAGGCACAAATCTTGTAAAATTAACGCATTATAATACTTCAATTCTTCACTATACTTCGAGAATTGATACTTTTAGACCATCAAACGTTCTATTTCACCGATTCACACACACACACACGCGCGCGCGCACGCACGCACACAAAACAAACACGTGTGCTTACACGATACGTATACGCATAAATCCATATCGTAGATTTGTATGTCCACGAGTCGCCTAAAATTATTAATTTTCACGTCGGCGAGAAAAAAGTAAACGTTAAGTCGGTTTTAGTATATATTATCCTGTATAGCGAAAATTGTAAAAGTGTTACTAAGGCGAAATATTTAATTTTAACGATACTGTTATTCCGAAAGACAAAATACATTGCGCGTTTCTCTATAATCTTATCCGATCGCCGAGTCACGATTCGCTAATTGACATAAAATTATGTAAACGCAAACATCTCTCTAACGTTACATGTTGGATATAACGCTGACGCTTTGAGACAAATCTACTTGGCCTCTCAGTACCTTCTGTTGTAACTTTTTGCAAAAGATTTTGGCCATAAGTTTGTTACGTCGCGCTTCTTCCTGCTTTTCCTGCTGTTGTCTTTTGTGACGCACTTCGTTCAATCGAAGATATCGTTTCCTCAGCCTTTCTTTCATCTCCTCGTCGTTGACTTTTTTCTGCGCGTAAACTAAATTAAACATTTTTAAAAGAATTAATTATTTAACGAAAATCGAACATTACAGGCTACGACTAAAACTGACATGAAACTACTTTGTCGAACGACATCGAAAACCTGTTACCTGTTGGCTTGGAAGACGCTTTCGATGATTTAACGGCGTTTGACGTACTAGCCATCGCCAGCAACTGTATTCGTTTCTCCTTGCGTAACAGTCGCAGATGAGATATTTCTGACATGTATTGCCGACGTGTTTCCGCGTTGCTCACGAATTCCGCTTTGTTTCTGGTCAAGTAATCCTTGAATTGTTAAACACATTTGTTAATGGAAGCGTAAAATAGAAAATGATTTTACAATGAACCCGTATCACGTTCTATATTTACCTGTAATGTATCCTTTTGCGGAGGACTCTTATCCGGACTAATCCTTTTTACCATATTACAGACACAGCCATCTGTTTTGTTTTCGTTAACGGTACGACTCTGTAATGACAGTTTTAGTAACGCGGCCGAGCCATCGATCTTTTCTTCGTCTTCTTTCGCGAACGACAATTCATACGCGACCGGTTTCGGGTACATTTCATGATAGTTACATTTTTTAGCATTATGACACGCTACACCACAACGACGACAATAGTTGCAATCTCTATCGGAATCGGCGGGTTGTTGGTTCGCTTCGTTCGCGTAATTAGGTTTGACGACTGAGCTGCTGTTGTAGCTTCTGCTGTGCGACTTGTCCTCAGCGTTGTTCACTGTTCTATTATTACACGAACAATCTTTCTCGCAATCACATTTCGAGTTGTTTTGTAGTTTATACCGAGTGGCTTCATCGTCTTGCTCGTTGGCCACACGATAAGGCCTCGTTTGCGTCGGTCGATCTTCTGCTTCCGTCCGGTGAGCATAGCGATGTGTCGACGTCATATTGCGTTGAACTTTTGCTCCGTTCGAATGACAATTACAAAACGTTTTCGCGTGATGGGTTTCTGGTTCGCGACTGTCACCACAGGAACAGTCGGTCGAACATTCGCACGATTTCGTGCGAGCATTTTGATCGAAGCTCGAAACGCGTCCATTGCTATCCTGACGATAGATCGCTCCGAAACTAATCGGTATCCGTCCATTTGACGATTGACTTTTCTCGCATTCGCATACGGTAGTACAGCTACAGCCTTTCAGTTTCACGTCCTCTCGTTCCAACACGTACACCATTTTCTTCTGACATTCCTCGCACTTGGTGATGTTGCTAGGTTCCAGGATTGCCCCTTGCGATATGGAACACGTTTGACATCCTTTGGACAACGGTCTCTTGGTCTCGCATCTGCAATCGCATGTGTGTTTCGATTTCGAGGCGTTTATCTGATTCTTAGTCTCCTTCTGCTTCAACTGAGTGACATCGTTGCTCGCGCAAGGATGAAGAACCACCTCCGAGGAGCTCGTGCTCTCGCCGTTGATTCGATCCAACGGAGTTTCCGAGTTGACCGGACTCTCCTCCCCAAAGTGGTCCACGTTCGCGTGCACCATTTTTATCCTGTTCGACTGGTCTTTTTGTTCCTGCAAACAGCGCACGCAAGCGGCTACCACGTTCTGAATGGAACAGTGCTTTGGACACCGAGTGGCTTCCACGTTTCGTTTGTAACTGTCTTGAAAGTGCAACGCGTCGTGAGCCGGACACTTGATGTAGTGCACGATCTCTGACTGTATCAAGGTTGGGATAGCAGACGTCTCCCAAGGAATCGTTTGTACCCCAGTATTTACCAGCTTGATCGTGGAATTTTGCGTAATCGATGCAGACATTATTTCACCACCAGTCTTCGAATGAGCGTCGATGTCGTTAGTCGCCGTTTGCGCGCAACTATTTCGCTTTTTGACACGCCGGATCACACTGTTTGGTCTATCGCGGGATTGACAAGTTGCTATGTTACAATGCGAAGACCATGGCTCTTCTACGGAATTCTCGACCGTGTCTGATTCGTTTGTTCGCAAATAGTCATCTTTCTTGATCGAACCGTGAACTCGTGCGTTAGACGCGACCGATTTTGACCTAAAGTTTGTCGACTTGGATTTCTTGGGCGACATCCTGGCCGGTTTCTCCAATCTCCGCGGTTCCTCTAGAAGCTTCTTTAGATTGGACAAGTGACTAATCTCATTCGTAATCCAGATCAACTGGTTCCTCTTCTCCATTTCAGCGTAGCTGACTAACTTGGAATCTCCGGAATCGGAGTTGCTGTATCTTTTCAGTTCAAACTGTCTCTCGGACAGCGTCGTGAGCAGCCTCCAATCGACCTGCTGCTCCGCGCTGTTGCTCGAAGCAACATTGCCCGTTCTTCGATTGTTAACGACCGCGTCCAACAACATTCTGTTGTGATCGGGCGGCGTGCTGTTCGTCATCGTCGAATCTCCCCGTGACATTTTGCACCTCTCTTTCGCGCAAAATATACTCTGCAGTTTGTTACTCTTGCGACCCCGTTGAGGGAAAAAGCATTCCGAGCTCTCGCTTTTCTCCGGATCAGTGGGCGTATTGCTACTTGGATGACAGTCATCCGATCTGAGACCCATTCTCGCTTTTCGTCCATCGTTCTCCGTTCTATCCGTGTTCTTGTCGATTTTATCGCTACTGCTTCCCAGATTTACTTCTTTCGTCAACCCTCCTCTCGTATTTCCCGTAGGGTTGCGTCCACGCGCCTTTTCTTTTTGCGTGTTCCACTCGGCCGATGAATCGCTGGTAGTATGTTTCTTTGTCAAAGCTTCAAGTATCTCCGTTCTGTACACCTTATTTCTAGCATTCTCCGGATTCCACGGAATGTTATCCTCCAGATTATGCTCAATTTTATCGTCGGTGTATTTCGCGGTTATAAGTCTCTTAACCACGTGATGTATCAGTCTTTTTTTCACCTCCTTATCGCATTTGTTGGCGTCGACCAAGCTTTTTAGAATGTTTACGCTTCGTTCCAGATCCCTCACCAAACTGTCCGAGTCTCCCCACAGCTTCTCGTTGATGCTAGAACTCGTGTTTGGTAGAGTAGATTGCGACCTACCCGTATCCGAAGACGATACGTGGCTGCCGCCTCCATTTGAAACGTTTTCGTAAACATGTCCTGGAAAGTATTCGAAACTGTTCGCCCTGCCTGTTGTATTTTCGGCATCGTCGGGCTGAGGTGTCTGTGTATCCATTCCGGATCCATTCTCCGAAGGTTCCGAACAGCTGCGTCGGACTCTTATTTTCTTCTCGCGTTTACTGACTATATTACCGCTTGTTTCGCTTGCTTCTTGATTTTCCCGCGAATTTGGAACTTTATACGTGCCTTTTGGATTTTTTAAAATCAAGGTCATACTCTTCTGTAAACTAGTTCTTCTCTTTGGTAACGGTGGTTTCTCTTCCTCGAAAACCGAAACTTGAACACCTACAGATTCTTGGCTGTAAGCGTTTAGACTCGTTTGTATCACTTTATCGCAAGTAGAAGGTTTATTTACAATAGTGGCGATCGACGACGAAGAGTTAAATATTAATGGCAATGCAGCCTTATTTTTGTCCTTGACATATAGATTTAATTCGCTTTGACTTCTTTTCAATGTTAATTTAGAAGGCGGTATAACTAACGTGTTCATCGATGTGCTTTTTTTCAAAGGTGAAGTCAGTAAACATATGTTTTCTTTATTTGTATTTTGCTTGGTTGTCGCTTTCCGCGTCACGTTTAAATGCTTCATAAAAGGTATCTTATATGTAACCGACGTTTTAGACATGTCATGATTTTGCTCCTTTTTTAAATACTGTGCCAGAGCGCCTTGTTGCTTCGACTCTTTAGGGAAAGATCTTTCGTTGGACTTTAGGTTGTTTCCTGCTATTATACCTGGCAAATGATTTTTCACAATAGGAGTGATTTCTATTTCGCTTTCCGATCCTGAAGCATACCCTAACAAAACGGTGGAATGGGCATCGGGTGTGACGGGTGCTTTAAAATTCTTTTGAACTCCCGTAAGTTTTCCAGAGATCCCGGATTCCGTAGTACCTTCGGGATCGAGTCTTAACGCAGCGGAACAACCTCTAGCTAAAGCCATACGTTCTATTGTACTTAATTTTTTGTCATCCTCTTTATTGTGATGTAATATATTACAGTAACCAACATCTGCTCCACTGTCCCATTCGAGTGGCTTATGAGACGCGATGCTCGAAGTAGGAGAAGAAATCTTACGTTCTATGGCTTCCGTTAAAATTTCTTGGCTTTCATTCTTCCCTTCCAAAATTGTTTCTGGAGTAACATTTTTTAAGTCAGGCGATGGAGATGTAGGATTCGACAACGGTTGAACGTATCTGGTCGACGAATCTGTATTCGAAGACTGACCGATAAGAGGAGGCCTCACCCATCTCCTTCTTTCTCTCGGCACATATGAACGCAAATTATATTCTTCTCCGATGCAGTCTTGTCTATGAACGTCCAATTTAGGATTCAACTCGTATATGCTGTAATAATATTTAACGGCTTCCGGCGATGTACTGGTCGCAGGCAAAGAAAAGTAATGATCTAAATTTGCATTTTGAGAATATTTATGGTAATATTCCATCACCTGAGAAGAAAGGCTTTTGTTCGTTGTCTCCGGATTGAGCTTCGACTGTGAGGCAACGACTCGTAAAGTATGCCATGATGCTGAATTCGCGTTGCAAGGTGATCGTTCGATTTCTCGTGGTTCGCTTAAACGCATGAAATCTTCTGAAGCTTCAAAATCTCTCAAACGACCTTCGCAACTCGACGCAGAGTCATAATCCATGCTCGCTAACTATGCGTGCCTTGTCATCTTTCGTTAACGGTGTCATGCCCTGTCACATTTTAAGAATAAACTATTCTCTCAAAGAAGATTGTGTGTAAACGTTTGAAAAAGTAGACATACATTCCTGATTAAAAATACAAACCTTCTTCGAAGAATACAATTCTAGAAAGAGGTTAGGGACGCTATCGTAAACGAACTCAAATCTGGACCCGATACCTGATCCAGTTTTCTCAACGTAACAAGTTTTTTGGCGCACAATTCTAGAATTATATAGCTACCGTAAGGGCAGTCACGATACTTGATATACCGCATATGATTCGTTTCATGTACCATTTGACAGTTCGTAAATGTTCGCTAAGAAAGTAACAATTACTGTTTAGGTGTTTACACTTGTTCGAAAACTCAATTGTAAACTAACATCGAACATATCCGGCATTATAGATTTTTGCCGTTTGAAAGGCTTATAGCTCTATTCAGTTCTGTTCAACCTACTCCCACCTGCTCCCACCAGCTCCCACCACTCGCTCTATACCACGAAGTATATAGTTTTATCTGAGACTGGAATAAATATTGTCGATTGATGATTCAGATTGTTATCCCTAAAATGAATGCTCAGCTAGCGATAAATAAACCAAACTAATGTTTAATTCGCATTTGGACTCACTTGAACCCTCCTGGTAGCCCTTTGAATACATTAGATAAAATATACTCAAAGATCTAGATAGACACTGTTCACAGCTCACCGCTCACCATTGCTCACGAACCGGCTTAGTGAGCGATGGGCTTTCGGGGTGCAGACAGCAGGGTGCACCCAATGCAACAAAGAAACGAATACACCATTTTCAAAGCAAGATCAAATCAAATGTTGTTATTTAATTCAAAATGGTGCAATTGAAATGTCACATATTCTATTCTATACTATCAACATTATATTTTATTTAAATATGTACGACTACGTCACATATGGCTAATTAACCGTTACAAAAATTGAGAATCTCGTAAATGATTGGTTAAACACTCATTTTTATACAAGGACTGTGATCATTTCATTGACGAAAGTGGACGATGAGAAATCAGTAATTGATAGACTTTTATCTTTTTACATGATTTTATAATGGATAAACGATAAATTTGCTTATCAATGTTATTCAAGTGTGCAAGTGTTTACATATCTGCACACCTGTATAACGAATCATTGGAATTTGTATCATGATAACGTTGTTTACAAAAGCATGGTAACAGCACTATGATTGCTGCTACTTAGCCAAATTAATAATGGCTATGGCACGTGGTACAGATTTGTTGACAGGATTTTGGTTTGATGTATTATTGCGGATTCTATTGGCAGGATTATTTATGTAAGTTATTGATCAAACGATTTATACGTGTACACAACTTTTTGTTTTAAATTTATGATCATGGTATGAAAGTAACGTGTTGATATTTGCAACAAAAAAGATAAAGGTACTTTTTAATGGTATCATTTTATTTATGTTCGTAGCGAATTAGAGAAAGCAGAACCATTTACAAGAAAAATTCACGAAGATGAATTGTGGTTATATAAAAATCCAAGAACCGATTCATATGTACCCACTACAATATTATGGGTAATCTATTTTATACGAGTGACTGAACATATAAATTACAACTATGTTTTAGCTAATTATTACTAATTTATATATCTTTGTAGCCTCTTGTATTCCTTATGCCTGCCATAGTGATCTTTCTTGCTTTCTTAGTTTATAAAAACAGAACTGACTTCTATCAAGCTGTATTATCCGTAACTTTAGCATTAGGATTCAATGGTGTAATTACAGATGTTATCAAACTTATAGTTGGTAAGAACTTGAAAGTATCTGTGTTATTTACAATGTGCAAAATAATATATGTCTTGGATAACATATATTTCTCATAGGTCGTCCTAGACCAGATTTTTTTTGGAGATGTTTTCCCGATGGAAAAATAAATCCAGATTTTAAATGTAATGGAAATCCAATAGCGATAAGAGATGGAAAAAAGTCATTTCCCAGTGGACATTCTTCGTGTATGTATTCTTTAAAAAGAAAAGTAAAGTAGATCGATTTTGATTAAGGATACTTACTATTAGGTTGGAAAACATCTTTGGTACTGTTTACTTTTCAGTTGCATTTGCAAGCTTTGGTTTCATCGCATTGTACATAGCTGGTAAGCTACATACATTTAGCCTAACTGGTAAAGGGCAAGCATGGAAATTATGCGCATTTATTTTACCAATTTGCATTGCTCTTGTAATTGCACTCAGTAGAACTTGCGATTATCATCATCATTGGCAAGGTAAGCATGTATTTCTATTGTATAAATAAGTTTTTTAATACTTCAAATTTTAGATGTGGTTGCAGGTTCGATAATAGGATACTTTTTGGCGTACATGTGTTATAGACACTATTATCCACCATTAGACTCGCAAGTATGTCATAAACCATATGCTGTACTTACTCTTCAAGTTCAACCAGAAAATACAAAGAATAGAAATGATCAGATCAAATGGATTTAATGTGTGTATTAATAATTTAAAAAGATGAACGGCAGTATTAAGAAAATTATAATGGTTTGAAATTTTGAATACGCAATGTTTTTATTTTATACGTGAATTATGTATAACTTATAAATGTAGCAAAGAATACCAATACATAAATTTTCAGTGAAAGAATGTTAAATATATATATATTTGTTTGTATGCAAGGGTTGTATACCATTATGAAACATCAATCTCACCGAATAGAATGATTTTGATAGAGATGAGGATCTTTAAATCATTTAAAATGGCGCGTTTAAAAGATGCGCAAAAAGATAGGCAATTGGAAGTATTGCGCATAAACGCCATTTTGAAAGTATTGCGTATGGTGCGCCACCAAGATGGTTCAGTCAAAGAGGGGCAGTAGTTCAGTCAATGGTGTTAGCTGGTGTTAGCGTTTCTCGCTAAACTTTTTAACTTGGCGGTTAATCGTACATATCTTTTCGAATTGCAAAATTCAACCGAGTATCTCGGAATTTGGCAAAATAGTAATTAATATCAGGTTTTGTATATTGCGTACAAATAGAAGAAAGTACACTGCAGCATACGTTTTTCGTGTAAATTAAGAGTTGAATCAGGTTTCTCGCCACCGTGAAATGACATAGTTATTTACGAGCTGTTGTGTTGGTGAAATGTTGTCTCAACTTCCTGTACATGGCGAAGACTCGTGAGCGTCGTCGTCGTGTTGAATAGTCATCAAACGCCAGTGTTCGCGACGGTGTTTTATCCCTTTTTAAGAACGTTCGAACTTATTGACCTGTTTCTCGCAACCTAGATCAACGAGATCGTGCCAGTTGCGCCTAAAAATGATGAAGATGGAAACGGATAATATTATCGACGACACAGACACGAATCCTCAGGTACGCTCATATATTAGTATTTTTGACCCGCCATTCTACCGCCATCTTATGTTTCCTTATGACGGAGAAATTCGCTAATGTTTCATGGTCGGCTGTTAATTCCTGAAAAGCTTTTCATTTATCACATGTGCTTTTTACCGAGAATCATTAATTGGATAAATATATCGTATGCAGGAGGTTGTACGATTCGATCGAATACTGTCACGCATGCCGATGATTGTGATTATTTCTTTAAACTTTTTATCAGAAGTATATTTACATGTATCTATCAATGACAGTTATCACAGTTTGATGAAAGCCTACATTGTATCACTTTTCATTATTTTCATAGTGGTACAAGTACTACCGTACATTAACGGTTAGATTAGATAGTTATCTTGCATCTGAATGAAAGAAAATATGTATTAGAAGTGTAATGCATTTGAACGATATACGCTATTCGTGTCATTCTAACACTGCAATGTTTGCACAGTTTAGCATTAATTTGAATCACAAATATTTACGTATTTATGTTATACATACATTTCATAAACAGGCACCCGTTCAACATCATATATTGTCTCGTTAGTTTCATCATCTAACGATATACATGTAAGACGAAAGTGTCAAATGAAAAACGTTGATTATTTGTAACTCGAAAAATAACTTTAACCGATATATCACTTATTAAATTTATGGTATCATTTTCATTCTTTTCGTCTATTTTTTTTATATTAAATTCAGTACTTTTCACTCGAAAATGAAAATTTACTATACGCGATTATATTTAATAGCTAATGACTGAATTTGATCGGCAATAATCGTCTTTGTTGCCGGAACAAAGGACAGATCACTTAAACAAGTCTAATCTTTAGACTTGGCGAACTCTGAGAACAGCATACTACATAATCAATGTTTGAACTCCCTCTTCACCCTTTCTCCTCTTTCATCTCTTACAATCCTCTACCCTTGTTCATTTCTTTCGCGACCCTGCGATAATCTATGTTGTTACATTCATAGTAATAGGGAATAATCGGCCAAGACCTGCATTTCAGTTTATCGTTCAGCTTAAAGAAGATTTTTCGTATTTCTACTAATTTCCTCCAATAATACGCGAATTATTAATATTCGTAAACGAGACCAATTCCTCGATGTTACTATAATGTTTGTTAATTTTTTATATTTTTTTTATAATTAGTCTTCTCTTTGTCGATAATTATGTGATACCAAAACGAAAGTATAATCTACACGCCATAAATACGTTTGTTCGATTTGAAAAATATTGTCATCTTCCATTGTACGGCATTACAGTAATATTGATTCGTACGCACGATTGGGTACAAGCCAAAAATGTCTAATTATGCACACAATATTTGGACCGGCTTCTATCCTCCTACTGGTCTTAACTGAACTTTTGTGTGTTTTATATACATACGTGAGTGTGAGCTGAGTGCGCGCGTGCGTGTGCGTGTGTATAGTATACATATATTTAAAAATATTAAAAACACAAAATCAAATATTTAATACCAAGAGATTTCTATAGAGGGCTTAAGAAGAATTAAGTACGCGATCTACGCGTGTATCGAGTTGACGGCTGAACCCAGTATGATGTATAGACCGTTCTCTCTATTTAAGATATCGAAACAGGGAAGAATTTCAATCCGTGCGTAAAAAAGTCTTGTGAATTTAAGTCTAGTGTTACTAACAATCCACAATCCATGGCAATACGAAAATTACAGTAGCATTACTAAAAAATGTGTAGCCCTTGTATTTACTGGGAGTGACTCATCATTCCGGTTATATTACTCTCTACTACATCGGCCGTTGCATTTTTAATTTTTATCGCAGTCACTTCAACCAGATTTACCACAAAAAGTAAACACAAGTACTCGAGGGTCAACGAGGTAGTGATGCATTACGTCCACGAATTTACAATCGTCTTTCAATATCGGATGCATACTCTGTTTACGGTATAAATCGCACGCGATCTTGGTTAGTCTTGTTCCTTTGAATGCATAGCAAAGTTAACTTTGCTGTAAAACTTGTTGTCAAGCGAATCAAAACAAGGATCTGTAAACAAATACCTTGAAAGCTGCATGACATTATCTTCTTTTCGCAGACCCTTCCTTGATAGTCTTCCTTTTTCTAACCTGATATTCGTACGAGTGGTCTGCGATAATATTACAGGTATTTCAGAAATACTCGATAGTACGCGATTTTTTGGCATTATCAACAAATTATCTCTATATCGACACTGGAATTAGTTGGAATGTATGAGTAATAAATTAATCATCAGCTTTTTCTTTTAGTTGTTGGGTTGTTGGGTTGTCGAGTGAAAAAATTTTACTCTAAATTTATCCAACTACTCGATCGAGTGATTAAATTCCAAGTACTTGGAAAGCTTTAGAAAATAGCCAGACTATAAGTACCAACGCAAAGACAAAGAAATGCGAAGAACATAGATTCGACACGAGTTCGCGATCCCGTTACGCTGGGAGCACCATGGAGTAACATTTTCAAGTGATCGAGGTACTCCTCGGTCGCTAGGACTCTTCAATGTTGCTATGCCACCTTTTACAGTCGAGTGATCACGATACCTCGAACCGAAGGATCATTTTCTGCCACTGTATACATATACATATACATATACACATGATAATACCATAGTTTTTTACTTTCAAGTTTCTGACCAGTTGCATTTTTAGTTTCGTTTTGAAGAGGAAGCACGTCGGTGCTGATTCTAAACAGTTTGAAATTAATAAAATAAAACATCTTATTGTAACATGTATCGATTTATGTGTAATATTTTGACAAGTAAAAGAATTAAGAAAAGAAGCAACATGAATACGATACGATTGTTTCCTTTTCAATGGTAATTTTTCCCGAAATAATTTCGATCGATTTATTGTATTATTATCTTATCGAAGTACTCATTCGGATAACATTTTGTGTTGAATACATGGTATCTCTGATTCAGTGTCAGAAATGACGCAATTAAAAATTTGTCAAATTATGGTACAGAGTTGAAATCTTTCAATGTACTTTAATAAATTCATTTGCATTGTACGTTATTTTTACATAAATAATTAATAGAACGCTTAACAAGATATGCGTCTATTATAAGGGTTTTCGCTTGTGAAGGTGGGGAGCGTAACAAGTAGGTCAGACACGAAATATTAGATTAGCATAGGCCACGGTCCTTCGATACATTTTTCCTCTGGAAACTACTGCTGATGCGAGTTTATTAAATTTCTCGTATTTGATTCATGAATGTAGATAATCAAGGATTATATTTTTTGTTTAAAAGAAGATTATCATTTTGGTTTTTTTTTATTCCTATTTCTTCTGTTCGCTGATTATTTTTTTGTAATAGAAAATACTGTAAATTAAATCAATGAATTGCGTGTTTCAACATCTATTTCCGCACGTATTCTCGATGTCCTGTTCATGCAAGAGAGCGTGGTCTATCCGAGGTCAAGAACCCGGTACCACGCTCCACCTCAAGATACGTTTGTCATGTAGTAGGTTTGCGATTACGAATATTTTTCTATGGTGTTTAACTCAAAATATAGATCTATTCAAAGAAATATTTAAATATGTATCGAATAAATATATGTGAGTATTTGTTACATGTTCCTCGTAATGTAATATACATTCGATAATCGATGAAAAAAAATTGTTAATGAACACAAGTTGAATTGAATTAAATTGTAAATATTTTTTTATATATTTGTATACAATACGTAACTTGTATGATATTTTTCCAGTGCCCGATAACAATACTCTATGATCCCACTCGCAAGAAAGAATTGCCAACAGTAGTATCTGATCACCATGAACAAGAGAGGGAAATTTGTATGAAATGGTTTGAGAGATGGAGCGAACCAGAACAAGTCAACTTTGTTGAACAATTATTAGCACGAATGTGTCATTATCAGCACGGGCATGTCAATGCTTATTTGAAACCAATGTTGCAAAGAGATTTCATTTCTCTATTACCAAGTGAGTATCCCTATTACAGTGATGAATTATATCTATGCATTCAATTTTTCATAAAAAAAAAATCTATTTTTAGAAAAAGGATTGGATCACGTGGCAGAAAGTATTCTTTCATATCTCGATGCTGATTCAGTAATTGCAGCAGAATTAGTATGTAAAGAATGGCACAGAGTAATTAGCGAAGGTATGCTTTGGAAGAAATTAATCGAGCGCAAAATTCGGACAGATTCGATTTGGAGAGGTCTCGCCGAAAGGAGAGGATGGTCAGTTAATATTTTATACTCTTCTATTGCACAAATATAACAGTTCAAATACACAGATCTTATGAAATTAGAATTAAACAAATAGCAAAATTATACAATATATATACAATTTTGCAACCACAGCAAACTACAGAAATTTGGTTCCATTTTACTTTTAGGATTCAGTATTTATTCAAACCGAGACCAGGAGAAAGTCATCCAAATCACAATTTCTATAGATCTCTTTATCCCAAAATAGTTAAAGATATTGATAGTATAGATAATAATTGGAGAATGGGAAGATTTAATCTTCAAAGAATAAACTGTAGAAGTGAAAATTCCAAAGGTGTTTACTGTTTGCAATACGATGACCAAAAGATAGTCTCTGGTCTTAGAGACAATACAATTAAAATTTGGGACAGAAATACGCTACAATGTATTAAGGTCTTAACAGGGCATACCGGGTCTGTTCTGTGTTTACAATACGATGACAAAGCAATAATATCTGGTTCCTCTGATAGCACTGTAAGAGTTTGGGATGCTAACACTGGTGAAATGGTTAACACATTGATACACCACTGTGAAGCAGTTTTACATCTCAGATTTAATAATGGCATGATGGTCACTTGCTCGAAGGTCAGGAAACCTTTTTTATATGTTTGTTATGAATTTCAAAATACTCTTATTCACTTGTACAAGTTGAAAATGGTAATACTACTACTATCTGATTATTTTCAGGATCGTTCAATAGCCGTATGGGACATGACATCGCAAACGGAAATTGCATTAAGAAGGGTACTCGTTGGACATAGGGCAGCAGTGAATGTTGTTGATTTTGATGAAAAATATATCGTTTCTGCTAGTGGTGATAGGACTATTAAAGTATGGAATACATCTACTTGCGAATTTGTGCGAACATTAAACGGACATAAACGGGGTATAGCGTGTTTACAATATAGAGACTGCCTAGTAGTTAGTGGTAGCAGTGATAACACAATCAGATTATGGGACATTGAATGTGGTGCGTGCTTACGTGTTTTGGAAGGACACGAAGAGTTGGTCAGATGTATTAGATTTGATAGTAAACATATAGTTAGCGGAGCTTATGACGGGTGAGTATAGAGATTTCGTTATATGGTGTTTCGTATTACATTAATTGTATTATATTGATCATTTTATGTTGCAGAAAAATAAAAGTATGGGACTTGGTAGCAGCTTTAGATCCACGTGCTTTAGCTAACTCACTCTGTTTACGTACATTAGTGGTAAGATATTCTATATATTTATTTTAACACTGTAAAATTATTTCATTATGATCATAATAACATGTCTTTCTTTCATGACATAGGAACATACGGGACGTGTATTTCGCCTTCAGTTTGACGAGTTCCAGATAGTATCGTCGTCACATGATGATACAATATTAATTTGGGATTTTCTCAACTTCAATCCATCGAATGGAAGCGTATCGCATGGACCGGCAACAATAAATGCATCAGGTGCGAATCAATCAGTTACCAGATCTCCGTCTCGTAAGTATGATGAAAAAGGTTTGTTTGCTGTAATTAATATATTCTAACATTATAAACGCCATTTACAGCATTCGAGTGACGCATTTATAAGAAGAGATTCCTTCATTGTGATATAATTGTAAGTGTTATACATAGAAATTTATTTTTAGTTGTATTTATTGTTCTGAAAAGTAAAGATTGCAAATTTCACGCATCATTTGTAACATATTGCTATACAAATTATTACTTCTAATACTAGAGATGATATATTTTATACAGTGAAATTCATAGTGATTGCATTGAGTTGTATTTGCTTGACTTTCTTTCTTTCTTTCTTCTTTCTTTCTTTCTTTCTTTCTTTCTTCTTTATTTTATATATATATATATATTGTACCTTATAGGAAATGTGTTAAATTAATCTGTCTGTTTAATTTCAGACAAGTGGTTAGTGAGTGAGTTTAAATGTGTTCACAATAGTGTACACAAAGAATGAAGAATCAGTGTCCAGTGTGAGCTGCGCCTAGACAGATACAGAATCTCAAAAGACATGGTTATTGACTTTTGTTTATTATTTGCTGTGAAAAGCAAAAGTAATTCTCTAAAATAGGATATATGGAGTGACACATAAAACTATAAATTAATTTATATGCGCTTGACGCACTGCGTTTAATAACGAACAGTATATTAAAACCATGTAAATACATCCCATGGATGTAAATAATTGTCTGCTTTGGCCATATCTGGAATTCTTCTACGCTCTATGACATGATAGAAGTTGACCACTTTCCTACTATAAACAGAAAGACTTACAATACGTGAAGAAAATAAAAACATTTTTAGGGAGGCTGGATACACTTAATAAGATGTTAGCTGTATTATAGTAAATTAATAACTTGTTTCTGTAATTAATTTATGGTAAGATGATTGTAAAATGTCGTTTGATTGAAGTACATATTCTGCGTGAATGTGAATGATAAAATGTCGATATCGATATGTGCGAGGATCATGTTTCATTATCTTCGAAATCTAGCTAATGTGAATCGATATACCCATGTTTAACATTATAGATGTACAGCCGTTAATCGAATATATAGCAATTTCCATAGACATTAAATTTGCGAGATTCATATTATATACTGAAAAATACATGAAAAGCTAACTACCTGTACACAGTCATTGGTACAATACCATTTGCATTTAAAATATAAATTTTCATTATACCAAGGTGTAAATATTAATTCATACAAAAGCAATATAGTAACTCAGAAATAATCTTAGCTGCTATAAACAAATTATCTTTTGACTGATGATCTCAGATAGATCATATTTTTCAATTTTTGTTTTTGGTTAGTCACATTTAAAAAATATATATAAATTATAAGCATGTCTTAAACAATACAATATACGTTAAAATGTAAATGTCATTTTCTAAAATTGTCATGCATTTATTAAGAATGTAGTAAACCGAACACGTCATAAATTCTCAGAATTGTCAAAGTATAGTACCTTTTTAAGATATATGAAAATATATCTTAAGAAATAATATGAAAATGATACGAATAGATTTACCTTATTAAAAAGTACGAAGCAAACTTACGAGTATGTAATTCCTGATTTTTATTTTCATGCATGTATTTTAAATTTTATACAATATAGATTTTGCAATAAAATTAAAATGTGACTACGTGCTAAAACAAGGGAAAGAAATGAACTATTACTGATAAAACGTGAAGTTACTTCACTTTGACATAACATGAGTAACAATTAGCTTTAAGTAGTACATTATTCTTCTATTATAACAATTTTTACATTAAAGGCAAAAAAATGATGAAAAATTGTGAACTGCATGTAGTCAAATTGGGTACAAAAAATTGTGATTTTTATGCTAGAACAATATCATGAGAAATTTTCTGTAATTTTAAGATATGTATATAAGGAACTTTAGTGCAAGCTATACTTTTGTAGTATGCAATATGTTCCGGATTCATAAAAAACTTTAACAAAGAGAATAGCATAATAATAATCATAGCAGGTATTACCATATTCTTTATAAGCACCATACTCCATTACATTACAGCTGTGTATAAATGCATACATATACTTTATTTAGATTGGGGTCTTAAAACACTTGAGTTAATAATTGCATTATTTTAGAGATACAAAATTTTCATTGCACAGAATATTTTACTTGAGGTCAATGATTGAGACAAATATTTCTGAATACAAAGTACACAACATGGTAATTGAAAGATTCATAATATCCTATTCATTTTTAAAATTTTGCAACAAGTGGTGCATTTTAATTGTAACTTGGTTGTTACATTTATTGAAAATAGTAGTACGACAGAAATATCTTTAAGAGAACATTGTGATGTCTATTATTAGAAATAACACAAAGTTTCATGTATGAAATTAATTACATAAAATTGATACAAAGGCTGTGGAAAAGCTATATTCGAAATACAATACCTATGCAACAAGATTGGAAACTTTTAATAGAATAAAATATCTGTCGTTATCCCTTTAATTTAATACCTTTAAAAGTCTAACAATGCAATTACATATACAAAATGAATACAAGATAATAAAAAATTTTTAAATTAGACAAAAAATTTTAAAAATAGTCATTCGTAACAACGAGTCCAGTTTCTGAAACATTTTCCAAACATACGAAGTTTACATTAATTTCATGTTCAACAAATTTGTACACATAACAAAAGCTTATGCAGTATTCGTAATAATATTTAAAACATTTCGATATAACTCACGTATCTTGCCCGTTAAGTGTTTTTAATAACGAATGTTCGAATACTTGCACCAATTTTCACGATTAATTATAATACGACATTGTGCAACCCAACCACAGAGTAGCAGAGAATAGGTGATGGTAAGTGACGGACCTGACGACGGTACCAGGTACCAGGTCCAACTCAAACGATCGTGTAGCTAACAGAAAATGCAGACAATCTGCGATCGTTTGGGTGGAAACATCATTACATCGCATCACAGAGTATTGGATTACTGAATGTTAAGTACTTTGGAGTACTTTGTTGATTAACTTAGTGAAGACACGACTTAATTTTTTTTTTATGTACGCGCGATAAATGGCATGTGATTATCATTTTTTTCTTCCATTTCCCGATATTAAACATTAAAGGTGGCGTTGCCGATGCTTCCAACCACTTCCAAGTTCCAACGTTAGTAAACGTCGCTTGGTCGCTTCTACATACATATATACATGTTGTATCAGTCAAGATTAAAGCATGTGATCCTGCCTTCATTGTAGATAATACGAAGCTGCGAAAATGGCGGACGAACAGGTGAGTTGCCGATCAAAATAATGTGCAAACCTCGAAACGCGACGAAGTTATTTACAACGAAGTGATTTCGAAAACCGTGCATCAAGTCAGCCGGTGGTAAATCGGTTCCGATTTGTGTGGTATTGACGTGTGTCCCGAACGTTTTGCTGTTGGGAAACACTTGAATATTCTTCGAAGCTATTGCACTGTTTGTTGCCGGACTACAGTGATTATTATTTTGTCGCGCTGTCAATGAAAATGCAATCACGAACTGACAAATTTCTCGGCCCACTGATTAAATGACATTTTATTATATGGACGAAACCGTGTTGCCGATGTGCGAGACTTTAACCTTGTTTTCGTGAATAGTATTGTGTAGATACAGTTTCCAAGTTTCTAAAGATAATTAATGGATGGAAATATCATCTACAGCGTGAATTTTATATTTAAACATTGTAATTTAAAAAAGTAACTTAAAATTACTATTAAAAAATACGGCATAACCTATCCGATACTCTTATTTTGCAACGTAAACTAAGATGTTTTCTCTGCTACTTCAATACGTTAGATCATTGTTTATCTGACATTCGGTACATTCAAACTTTCTTATAATTTAACGGTGTCTTATTCCGGTTTAATTGAAAACAAATTAAAACACTTTACGATATTTTCAAACCGTTTTCCTGATCGTTTGAAATTCACTTGATTAATAGTTACAAAATGTAAATCTCGTAACCTCAAAATATCATTTAAATTCTAAGAAAATAAATTAATATTCTGTTCCTACGTGTTGAACATTAAAAAAGCATTATTATAATATTGTTTGTCTTTCGTTTATCGATTAAAAAAGACAAAGTTTAAAAGAATTCATAAAATGAAACGATTAATGTTACTAAAATTTAATGTATTTAATAGAAAAGACTGTGATTTTTGTTACTTGCTTATATTAGTTTACATGTCACAGATATTACTTTAAAATAGTTTGTACAAACTAAATTTTCTCTCTATCGATCATTATAGTTTTGTTTTTTTTTTTAAAATATACATTCTTCTATAGAGTTTAGTATTTCATACTTTTTACTCTATACAACAATTATATTTGAAAAAAATATTGTTCGTTAAAAGAAAAGAAATTATAAATAAAAAGTATAATTTTAAAATTGTTTATTTGTTATAATCCAAAGACTATTTAAAAAATATACATTTTTTAATGTTAAATATAATAGAAAATAAAAATTTTCAAAGATTCTGAAAAGTGAAGCGATGGTTTTGAAGCTTATAGACTTGAAATACCTAAATGGAAATATCGTGGTATATGTTTGAATTGTGTCACTAAGAATGGATCACATACAGGAAGTACGGCAGCTGGAGTTGCTATGCAAGCAGTTGTACGAATCACAAGATTCTGCGCATCGTGCAGAAGCTGAAAAAGCACTTGTTGCTTTTCAAAATGCACCAGATACACTTACAAAGTGCCAGCTGCTACTCGATCGAGGAGATTCTGCTTATGCTCAATTATTAGCAGCCACTACATTGACAAAATTGATTTCACGTTCTGCAGGACTCAGATTACAACAACGGCTTGACATACGTGAGTATATTGGATAAATATTATAAAATAATTTATTTAAAGTTAATTTCTGTATTTTCGTTTTAGGAAATTACGTTCTCAACTATTTGGCAACTCAACCAAAATTACCAAATTTTGTGATACAAGCTTTGGTCACATTATTTGCTAGGATATCTAAGCTTGGTTGGTTTGATTCTGATAAAGATGAATTTGCTTTTAGAAATGTGGTCAGTGATGTAGCAAAATTTCTTCAGGTGTGATATAATTTTTTTATATTTTAATTTTATAAAATATTTTTGATAATTGTTCGATATTTTAATATAATACAGGGATCAGTGGAACACTGTATGATAGGAGTCCAGTTACTTTCTGAACTGACTTGTGAAATGAATCAAGTATCGGATGTTGACGCAAATAGGTCTCTCACAAAACATAGAAAAATTGCCAGTAGCTTCAGAGATACACAGCTATTTGAAATATTTAAATTATCGTGTACTTTATTGAGTACTGCATGCGAGAATTGTAAAAATTTAAATTTTACCGATGAAGCACAAGTATGTCTTTTCCTTTTTGTGCTATTCTTACAAAAAATTTAATGTTTTATATATGATCATATGATATTTCGATTTTCTTATTTATTGTTTAATTTAGCATGGTCTGATCAGACAGCTTCTAAAACTGGCACAAAATTGTTTAACATTCGACTTTGTTGGAACATCAACGGATGAAAGCGATGATCTCTGTGCAATACAAATTCCAAACAACTGGAGACCTATATTTCTGGATTCTACATCGTTAAAACTTTTCTTTGACCTATATCATAATCTACCCAACTCATTGTCACCTTTGGCCCTCTCGTGTTTGGTCCAAATAGCATCTGTCAGAAGAAGTTTATTTTCAAATCCAGAAAGAGCACAATTTCTAAAACACTTAATTAACGGTGTGACAAATATAATACAAAATCCGAGGGGTCTAAGCAATCCAGGAAACTACCATGAATTTTGTAGATTACTATTAAGGTTAAAAAGTAATTTTCAACTTGGAGAATTGATTTCGCTTGACAATTATCCAGAAGATATACAGTTGATTGCAAAATTTACAGTTCAAAGTTTACGAATATGGCAATTTTCACCAAATAGTTTACATTATCTTTTAACGCTATGGCAGAAAATGGTGTCATCTATTCCATATGTAAAAGCAGGAGATCGGCATTTATTGGATATATACACACCAGAAGTTGTAAATGCCTACATTACTTCAAGATTTGAATCAGTTGCAGTAATAGTTAGGGAACATTTGGAAGACCCACTCGATGATTTAGGAGTGGTACAGCAGCAGCTGGACCAAATATCGATAATCGGAAGGTGTGATTATCAAAAGACGTACACCTTGTTAATACAACTGTTTGATCAAGCTGCTAGAACGTATCAAGAATCACTGACACGTACAGCATCTCCAACTCAACAAATGGAAATCACTATAAGAGAGGGACAACTCACATGGCTTGTGTACATTATAGGTAAGAAAATAATTGTAAACTATTAAACACAACAAATATAAACAAAACAAGATATACGTAATGAGACAAATGTATAATATTTGAAAAATAAGGTGGTGCCATTGGTGGAAAAGTAACGTTTAACAATAACGAAGAGTACGATGCGATGGATGGTGAATTGGTCTGCAGAGTACTTCAGTTAATGAATTTGACTGACTCAAGACTTGCACAAGGTGGCTGTGAAAAATTGGAGTTAGCAATGTTGAGCTTCTTTGAACAATTTCGTAAGATATATGTAGGTGAACAAGTTCAAAAAAATCCTAAAGTATATAGAAGACTATCGGATGTTTTGGGCGTGAATGACGAATCTATGATACTCGGTATTCTGATCCGAAAAATGTAAGTATAGCGGAACATACGAAAATATCAATTAACCTTTAATGATTCACCTTTAATGATTCACCTTTAATGATTTATTTGCAGAATAACAAATTTAAAATATTGGGGCCGTAGCGAACAGATTATTTCAAAAACATTACAGTTATTAAATGATCTGTCTGTGGGTTATAGCTGTGTTCGTAAACTCGTAAAATTAGAAGAAGTACAATTTATGCTCAACAATCACACAGTATGTACAAATAACTATGCATTTACAATTGTTCCGTACAAAAAACGTTAGGTACAATAGCTGTATATGCTCCTTTTTATTAATAGGGAGAGCACTTTCCATTTTTGGGAAACAATGTTCCTGTAACAGAAATGCGTTGTAGATCGATGTTCTATACATCCTTGGGTAGATTATTAATGGTAGATTTAGGAGAAGACGAGGAAAGGTTTCACACTTTTATGTTACCCCTAACAGGTAATTTATATACAGAAGTATAGCATTACATTTACTTAATACTTATCTTTATATCGTTTATTTCTAGGTGCATTAGAAAGTTTGGGGCAATTAATGGGTGCTGCTGATCCTTCACTTTTTGCAGCAGAAGAAGCGAAAAAAGCATTAATCGGCTTAGCGAGAGATTTGAGAGGTTTAGCTTATGCATTTAATACGTCAACGTCATACATGATGCTCTTTGACTGGATGTATCCTTTCATTAAAGACACGATTCGATCAATGCATGATTGATGATTGATAATATGATATAGTATTACTTACTCAAGTTTTTAATCATACATTACCTTAATCCATCTATAGATATCCAAACTACACACCGATTTTATTACATGCTGTGGAATTATGGCATTATGAACCAGAAGTTACAACTCCCGTCCTAAAATTATTTGCTGAATTAGTACAAAATAGAAGTCAACGATTACAGTTCGATGCATCTTCTCCAAACGGAATTTTATTATTTCGTGAAGCTAGTAAAGTGATATGTAGTTATGGTAATCGTATATTGAATGTTGAAGTTCCAAAAGATCAAATTTACCCTTTAAAACTCAAAGGAATAAGTATATGCTTCAGTATGTTAAAAGCAGCTTTATGTGGAAGTTACGTGAATTTTGGAGCGTTCAGATTGTACGGTGACGAGGCACTAGATAATGCGCTTAATACATTTGTAAAATTACTTCTTAGTATACCACTACGTGATTTATTGGTATGTATTTGATTTAGATAAAAATTGCGTTTATAAACACAAGGAAAATTTGCTAACACATTCTTGTTGTTCTTGATAGGATTACCCAAAGTTATCTACGACGTATTACGTGTTACTAGAGAGCTTGGCACAGGATCATATGGTTTTCCTCTCCACCCTAGAACCCAGAGTTTTCTTGTACATTCTATCAAGCATCAGTGAAGGCCTTACAGCACTAGGTGCGCAAAAAGACTCCTATACAGGTCTGTGCGGCTGATTCTATCTTATTATGAGTCTCTTATCCTCTATGCCATGCCTTGGGGCTGTTAGTCTCAAATCATTTAGGCCAATTTCTACTTAAAATAGAAAGGTATTCGTCAAATATTTTGTTATGTTTTTAAAACATTGGAAAAGCTATGAATATTTGATTACAATTAAACCGTTGAAAAGTCATTTGTAATGAATTCAATATTGATACTATTTGGCGTTTACAAGTTTTCAGATATATTTCTACTCAAATTGTACCTGAACAAACAAAAATAATTGTTTCGTATTGCGCATGTATGGTTAATGGGACAATTCTTTTAATGATTTTATAATTACCGGTTGTTTACTCTGTTAACTTTATATAAAATGTCACATAAAGTTTTGGGCAGTAAAGAATTTATTATTCGAAGATCTCAACAAAAAGACTAGTTAATAAGGACATTTCATTTTTTTATGTTCATTTGCCTTTTGCATTGTTGCTTGGAATGTAAACCTGCCTCTAGGTATTAGTTATTGCCATAGTTTGAAACATATAATAATACTTGTGTATGCTGAGTAATTCACCTTCATGCATATAAAGAGAATGATTGAAACATTATGGTGTTATAATAGGCAATAAGAGGATTGGAGTTTGTAGAATCAAAACCCTATTTTTTATTACTGTAATGCTTTTTCAAAACCTTTATTCGTGTTTTTAGAATAATATTATATTAAACATTCAAATTCTTTATACCTTTAAAGTTGAATTATATAATGGATCTAGCACACATAGTCAGCCGCACAGCTGGCATGCTACTAAAATGTATGAATCTTTACAGTTATAAGTTCTTAATTTACTAATTATCATATGCATGATGTATTAATATTGTTTGTTTTTCATTATTTATGCTTTATTTTCCAATTGACATTCAATGTGCTAAACAATTTACAACCTATTTTGACGTGTATGTAAAATACCGATAGTTTCATTTCATTTCATTTCATTTCATTTCATTTTATTTTATTTTATTTGTCACTTAAACGAAGTAGTTATAAATGATTTTATTTTTCATTTTCTGTTTCATTGATTAATGTTGAACATTTCGAATTTTCTTTGTTTTCAAATAAAAATATATTTAAAAAACTGTACGATTATCGTATGAAGTAAACACATAGTTTTCAAATCACACATTTAAAAGGTAGGTTCCTATATTAAATTTCACGTTAATTGTCCTGATAATGTTTGCATGTGACTTTAAAGTTTTATTTTATGAATTACTCTTGTATGATTATTTGTGTCATTTGATTTCTGTTGCATACAGAATATGAAATAAGAATAAAGAAATTTCTTTACAGATACAATGGTTTGTACTGGTTGCTGTGCGACACTTGATCATATTGTGACATATTTATTTAAACAACTGTATCCAAAAGGTATAACTTATAACACTAGTGGTTATTACACATATGTATATATTATGTGTATAACATATACCCTTTTTATCAGGAGGCTATGCAAGAAGGAAAAATGCTGTAGTTCCGGGAGGAGGAGATTTATTCTTACAAGTTTTAAAACAACATCCTGAGATTCTTCAACAAATATTAAGTACCGTTTTAAATGTGATAATGTTTGAAGATTGTAGAAATCAATGGAGTATGTCACGTCCGCTCTTGGGATTAATTCTTTTAAACGAAGATGTGAGTGTAAATTAATTTTTCATCTAACATTCTGTAAAAAATATACTAGTGATTTTGTAAAAAAAAAATTATGATTTCAGTATTTTAATCAATTGCGAGAAAATATTATTAGAAGTCAACCAGTTGATAAGCAGGCAACAATGGCACAGTGGTTTGAAAATTTAATGGAAGGAATTGAAAGAAATTTACTTTCAAGGAATAGAGATAGGTAAGAAAGAACGAACACAGGAGTACAAGTGGTTCGATGGATAACAAACTGCCATTCTTCAAGAAAAATATGTATAAGAATAGTATCTATATGTTTACATATTTCTTTCATTTTAGGTTTACACAAAATTTGTCAATGCTTATAAAAGATATAAATGATACTTTGAAAGGACCTTATACGTCTACAAACGCTGTCTATGATATGATGACTATATGATTGTAGCGATATCGCTCTCTTTCTATTAGATTCTTCTAGGTTCTTGCCTGCCAAATGCTTGAATGTGTGTGTGAGTGAAACTATAAATTATGGTGGATTTAAAATTATGGTTTTAGATGAGTATAAAGATAATAAATTAAGTACAGTTGTTTTATAGAAACATTGTTTGGCTTCCTATTCTCTCATAACCTTACTTTGTTTTCCAAATTCTTTTGATCTATGTAATCATTTCAAATTTTAGCGTAACAAAACTCATTCATTTTTTAAGCACATATGTAGTATATTTATAATTTTAATATTAACGTAAGTATATGCACTTTATCCTAAATTTATAGACAGGAAGAAATAGATCCTTTTTATTACCTTTATACTCCTACCACTTTGATATAATACGATAATGGAACATGTTTATTCTTGCACGTATATTACCTACAATGATTGGCAATAAATATATTACATTTTGTAGATCCACAGTTCGTATACATTGATACATTTTTCATAGATAAATTTGTGTTGAATGCACATTACTTTCTGAAAGTGGTTAAAATATTATGAATCTATGATTAATACTTTTACCTCACTATTAATATAAAAGATATATGTATGCCTTTCAGCACGCATTTTTTTAATTTCCAGTGCCAAGAATCAGCTTTTATACATATTGTTCATTATATTTACACTTTACTTTAAATAAATAACATATCGTTTTACTTATTAAATAATATTGGAAGATGTAGTATAGAATAGGAAGCCAACTATATGAATTACTATCATACATTTTGTTCCATATTACTTTTACATGCAGCAGACTTCCATTTATTTAAACGTATTCATTATTTAAATATTTTTTATTATGAAATATATATGTCACAATTGTATGAACAATTTTTAACGATAATGGTACAAAATTGATGGAGTCACTATAAAGAGAAGTATTAACGTATCAATTATTTGAGAAACAGAACTACTTAAGTCTTTATGTTAACGAGTGAAGCATTCATAATACCATACCATAGGAGTCGTTATTAAATTGATGACTGTGAAAATTCCCTTACAAATGTATTTTGTTACTATTATTACGTAATTATAAGTGTCATTGATAATATTTTATTCAAACAAAATCTGTATCAAACATATGTTGCAAAAAACTATAGTCACCTGACTGTTAACATGCATATTGTAATTTTCTTGTATCTATTTATGCAATGCAAAGTACGGTACGGAGTTTTAAAATTACAATTCATTGCACTTCTGTAAATTATAAATGGCTACATATTTTTCAACAACTTAATTTTTTGTATTAAGGTTATGAATAATGTATATTATTGGCAAACAAATGTGAATTTCAAGAATAAATACATTTTCATTATACAAAGGCCAATAAAGTTATTTTACAAGTGACTATAACAATCATGATAAACGTATATAAGTAGTTTTCATTTTTTATTTAATTCCATTCTTCTTGCTTGTATTGTTGTTTTGTTCTATATTTATTTTCTCATTGTAAAATGCATGTTAACAGTAGAAGGTTAACAATTTTTTATTGATATTATATTTTGTACTATGAATAAAAGTATTTCGATGTTTTTTGTAACTTTGGAAACTAGATTTTCAATATAAAGTCGAATTTAATTAAAATTGATTTCATTGTGTATAGTTTTTTATACTTGGATAACATTTCTTTTGTAGCAATCAGATTGTATGATAATTTCAGAATACATTTTAAAGTCGAAAAAGCCATTGTTAATTTTATAACAAAGAGTACTGCCAGATCTATTTTTCTTCAAATGCATCAGTAGTTGTCACTTTGTATCTTTATACAAATTTATGGTTTATTTGAACATTACTATTGAGGATTTGTTAATTCGATTACATTGTTTATTACAAAATTTCTTTGTAAGGTTAATTACAACATTAAGCAGTGAGACATGAGTACACGAAGAGTACATGTAAAAAGTTCACATGAGAGTTCTCTGTAATATTAGTTTGTACACAGTTAATAGTTTGGTAAGACATATACTGTTTTTTTTTTTTTTTTTTTACATAAAACATCATTTAGGTTGCATCTACTCATTTATATGTTTTTTTACTGTAAAATAGTAGAGAGAAGTTGTTGCTAGAAAGCGACAGATGTCTTTTTTTTTTAAACAAATTTTTAGGCACTTTACATTTAATAAATATTTGTAAAAATGTTAGAAAATTACATTTATTAACCGACTGTCACAGTTAAATATCTACTGTAAACAATTGTATTGTATATACTTTTGGTATAGTAAAAATGTTACATTTCATATTGTATAAGGTGTCAAAAAATATCTAGCGCAGAATTAGACTAATTATTAAAATAGTATGTTCATCTATATATGTATTTAATAGTAAGACACATTTGTTTTCACATCTATGTTTGTGTTCATCGTTTAGTCAAATTATGCGCTAGAGTTTTAGAATGACTAATATATATGAGAAACGATTAAAGCTTTTACTTAGTTTTAATATCATTCGTTGTGTAACGTATAGATACGAATAATTACCTACTTTTTTTATATTCATGAAATGCGCAGAAAATTACACAAAATATACGAGTTCATTATAACTTTTGCATTTGATTACATGATTCAATAAGTAGAAAGAAATAGTAAAAAAAAAAACATCATTGCATTTCTATAAAATTTTTATTAGTAATCTTATCAAACTTTATTACATAAATAAATAAATATATATATTTAACTTAATAATCTTTCACCATCTTTGGATGTGAACATTGTATACATCTTTTTACTTAATTCGGGACCAACTTTACGCGTTGTTGTAAGAGGCCCGGCTGCTCTTCTAATCTGTGAAACATACGAAATATGTTTGTGAAATGTAAGTAAAAATATATTAATAAAAAACTTCATTTTTATCATTTTAAAACATTATTTTATATAATTTTCTTTATATTTTGTAAGAAATTCTGATTGTTATATTATTTACCAAAATGTCTCTCAAAAGGTTTATTCCTTCGTCGTATGTACAATTCTTGTATGCCTGAAAAAGAAATTGAAAGGATAGCACAGAGAATCTGATTGAGCTGTGTTTATTACTCACTTGCATCAAATCTACAGGACATGGATACACGGAACAAATTGCTTCTGCAATTTCAAGACTACTTAAATTAAATTGACAAAGTTGTTGTTGCCACAATCTTTTTAATCCATTGCCATCTTTATCTACATGTACTGTATTTCTATTATCTCCCATCACGTACCAATCAAATTTGCTTGTCAAATTTGTATTTTTCTCCAATTTATATGGTTGTTCTGCTATAGCTTTTGTACACTGATACACCATTAGTGCTAAGTCTCGAGAATTGTTAATTAATCTACTGCTACATTTATTAATTATTTGTATTTCATTAAGACACATTTCGAGATCCTCTCTCAATATTTCTGGGAAATTTTTAAACTGACAATTACTTTTAGTATTGGTTTTTTGAGTTTTACTTTTTGCTCTATTTTTAGTTGAATTCTTTGTTTGGTTTTTATATGTAAAATAATCTTCTATACCAAAAATGACTATCATTATATTGTAATTTGATAATGATGCTTTAATGTTAGAAATACTCCCAAAAAAGCTGCCATCTGCTACTTTTGTTACAGCTTCATCCCAATTCCAAAGTACTAATATTTGATTGACTTTTTCAATATCTACTACTGTACATATTTCATTGGTTTCATTAACATAACTGTTTTCAATATTTCTTTTCCATGTAATGCTGTTTGAAATTAATTCTTTGTTAATACTATATTTTATATTAGCATCAAGCAGTGTACTTGTAATATCAGTAATAAAACCGAAATTTTCAATACCTTTATCAAGAACAACTTCCATAAATTTCATACATTCACCAGGTTGAATACTTTTTGATTTCTTTGATGCAATTGTTTTCAATGCTTTTTCTCTGATTAGTTGTTCCTGCCGTTTTAATCTTTCCTCTATTAATTGACTTTTACTTTTCTTTGCTACAAATTTAGTAGTCTTTTGACTCTCTATCTTTTTGTTCAGTTCATTCAAATTTTGCGTGAAATCATACGAATCAGACACACCATATAAAGTTTTTTTAACATTATACTCTTTTGAATTCTCACGGGTGACAAAAAGATCCTTTTTTAACGTACAAGAAGGAATATTAAATGAACAGCTTTCATTAATGTTATTTTCTAAATCAACCCTTTTATCTGAATCAGCGGCATGATAGAATTTTACTGCAGGAAATTCAAAATCGTCCGAATCACAGTCGAGTGACGATTTTTTTCTAACCTCGTTAACATTCTGTACTCTATCATTTTCAACAGAGAAAACGGATTCGTCCGAATCGCTTAAAATAATAACTTCAGCCATTGTTATGAAATACGTATTACATATTTTTCAGAACGAATTTTGATATACGTAAACAGTATTTTGCGTAATTTGTTTAAACGATATGTACTTCAGTACTTCGCTAATAGGTGCATCCGTGCATGTCCATCCAACTTGATTGCATGATTGCATCCAATGAATGGATCTACGTAGAACCTATTAGTACCGCCATTAGAACCTATTAGTGACGCCATCGGTGGGATAACGCCCAAGTCTGTAGGGATAATAGTTTCCACTGTTTCCGCTAGATAGCATCACTAATTAAAGGTTTGATACTTATTACTGCATTAATAATGATAACGTTTAAATAATATATTAAAATAACGTATTGCAATGTTATAAAGCAAAGATTCGTACTAATTATGCATTTATAAAAAATAAAGAATAATTAATTCAAATGTATCAGTGGCGCCTTCTAACAGAAACTGTAGGAACTATTTTCACTAGAAACTTGGGCGTTTTTACACCAATGGCACCACTACCACTAAAACTCACTCACTGAGCGGCTTAGCAAGCGGTGGCATTTCTGAATGCACCTATATGGACATAGTGGACCAATGAGATTCTAATCATATAAATCGGTATAGTTTACAATGATTACATTCATTCATATTTAAATTGAATTAACATTAGCGGAATTAAAATGAAGGAAAACGATGATTTTAAGGCGTAAAATAATATAACATAATGTCTAAAGCGTTATTTTGAATAACATTATTTTGAAAGCGCATAGGTAACGCAATACGTGAATATGTATACAAAAGTAATCTGATACACGAAACGGTTGCTTAGGAAATTTAGAAAAGGCATCCATTGATTGGCTGTGCATTTTCATGTAAGCAATCGTGATATAATATCCTGTACCCTTCTGTAAGCTTCATTTCAACGTTCATGTTTTAAGCTTCGGGCGTAGACGGGTTTTGTTCGGTATAGTTAACTTTTTGACTCTGGCGGAAATAATGACGTCATGAACCAAGTGTCGGTGACAAATGGATGATACATCGAAATGATATGGAATTGTGTGTATTTTAGAGTGTGGTTTTCAATGTGATTTATTGTAGAACAAAAAGGAAACTCTATAAAGTTAGTCGTGAGTGGAATTCATTAAAGATTTCGTAGGTTTCAAGCCATACTTTTTTCATGAAGGTAAGAACCTGTTATTTCGTATAATATTTTTCGTATGCAAGTGTCAAAGCTCTTGGAAGGATGGGTGCGTTGCGTTCTAATGCACGATATTTTTTCTAAACATATCATATCTTGTAAGTTATCAAGATCACGCCTTTCAAATTATTCCTATGAGAAAATATTAAAATACATGTGGTTCACTTTTGTGGTCATCATTGTATGCTGTACCAATATTGTATTTTTAGTATATTTTTCTAATTGATTAGAAAATTAGATTGATTAATATTTGTTAAATTATCTGTATCATACTATAAGAGCACAGGTAATTTTGTTAAAGTTTATGCATTTAATAACATATGTGCAATGTTTAATTTTCAGAATTGATTTACTTGAAGTGATAAAGATGTCAGATCACTTTGGACCGATAACCCTGAAATGGGATCCTAAGAATTTGGAGATTCGTACCATGTCTGTGGAAAAAACATTGGAACCCTTGGTTTTACAAGTAACTACTCTTGTAAATACAAAGGGTCCTAGCAAGAAAAAGAAAGGAAAATCGAAAAGAGCTAGTGCTCTAGTTGGAACAGTAGATAAAGCATCTAGTAATTTTATTGAAAAAGGTGAACAAATTGCTTATGAAAATCCCGACATTACTGCTGAAATGTTAAGCGCTGTCGAAGAAGTAAGGAAAACAGGTGCTGCAATGAGTATTGCTGCCAGGTATCATTTGTTTTATTTTTATACTTTTCCAGTACATTAAGAATTTTACATGAATTTTTATATTCGTATTATTTAAACAGGGAGTTTTCAGAAGATCCATGTTCTTCTTTAAAGAGAGGCAATATGGTTCGTGCTGCAAGGAATTTGCTGTCAGCTGTAACACGTTTACTTATTTTGGCTGATATGGTCGATGTACATTTGTTATTGAAATCCTTGCATGTAGTGGAAGGTGATCTACAGAAGTTAAAAAATGCATCCTCGCAAGGGGAATTATTGGAAAATATCAAGCAATTTGGAAGAAATGCATCGGAGCTTATGAATCAAGCTGCAAAACGTCAGCAAGAACTCAAAGATCCTCAGTTACGAGATGACTTGGCAGCAGCAAGAGCTGTTCTCAAGAAGCATTCTACTATGCTTCTTACAGCTTCTAAAGTTTATGTTCGGCATCCTGAACTAGCTGCTGCAAAAGCAAATCGTGATTATGTTTTGAAGCAAGTTTGCGAAGCTGTGAATACTATCAATGATGTGGCACAAGGAAAAACACCAGTCGATAGTCAGCATCCTTACGAAGGACCTGGCGAACTAGCTGCTGCTCTAGATGATTTTGATGAAAGAATGGTGATGTCTCCGCTTGCATACAATGAAGTACGTACAAGACCCAGTCTAGAGGAAAGATTGGAAAGCATTATCAGTGGTGCTGCATTAATGGCAGATTCTTCTTGTACTCGAGATGAACGTAGAGAACGTATTGTCGCTGAATGTAATGCGGTCAGACAAGCACTTCAAGATTTGCTTAGTGAATACATGAATAATGTGAGTATTTTGCAAATGTCTTTCCTTCATTATAAAACACAACTGCTTTATATGCGTAAAACTATTTATATGCACATCAAAGTGAAATATAAAACACATATATGAACAAATTCATGTAATAATTACAATATAGGAAAATTTTATTAATTTGGTCTTTCTGTAATTTATATTAGTTTAAATTTCACTTTCTAATATATCAATCATAGTTTGAATTTTGACATTGTAACACATTTTGTGGTACATAACATGTTACGAAATATTGATAACACACAAATAATTATGTTATCATTTAATGTAATCAATTTATTTATCGATTCTTTAATATGTTTATTCTACTCATTTGTTTTTTTATTTTGGTGACTGCAGTTACAGCTTGCTCGGGGTGGGAAAAGGGTAAATATGAAATCTTTGTGTTCTCGCACTGTTCTTGCATACAATTTACAAATTAAGCGAGATGTTTTAATCGTTTTATATATATTATTGATATGTTATCTTATAACGAACACTAATCAAATATTTTGTAATAACCGAGTGTTTGTCATTTTCCAATTGTACACTAACTTGCACTACTGTACATAAATTATATTATTTCACGATACGTAATATAATTTCTAATTAATGGAAATGAAAGGGTATATAGCATAAACAAATAGTGTATATTACAAATGTTATTGTAAATTTGCCGAGATTAGAAAAGCTATAGATAGACATTTTTAATGGAACTAAACGCGTAGTCTAAATTAATGCTAATCAATTATAGGTTTCACACATATTTATTTTTTCATAACGCATAAATGTTATTTTGAAGCATGAAAAATTCTCTCATTAATTTGATTTTACAGCTTTTCATTTGTTTATGTTTGCTTGTGTACATAGCTTTTTCTTGATAATTTAATATTAATCGAATTAAAACTTTTCTTTCACCAAATAAATACGAATGTAATGTTTATAATTAATACCTTAATTATTACGACATAACAGACATGTAAATTAAACAAGCAGTTTTTGGACAATGGCAATATAAAATCGGTCTTTGTGACTATGTATTTATCATTTGAATAATCATTAAAATATTCTAATATTTTGCACTCTAATACGTTTAGTAAAGAGATAGTATAGATCTCATTCAGTCTTGTATACATATAACGCTGATTCGTATATTTCATTTTCGAATATTGCAACACATTTTAACAGATAGGAGTCAAGGAACAATCGGAAGGGTTGGAAAGAGCAATCGATCATATGTGCAGAAAAACACGCGATCTTCGTAGACAATTACGAAAGGCTGTAGTAGATCACGTGTCTGACAGTTTTTTGGAAACAAGTGTACCTTTATTGGTTCTTATCGAGGCTGCGAGAAACGGTCGTGACAAAGAAGTGGAAGAATATGCACTTGTTTTTACAGAGCATGCAAACAAACTAGTTGAGGTAAATATTTGTTAAATATTATTTACTTGATCGTGTTTATTTGAAGTATTCAATGTACTAAAATTAACATTGTTTAATAACGTTGGATTCATTTAATCAGGTTGCTAATCTAGTATGCAGTATGTCAGGAAATGAAGATGGCGTGAAAATGGTTCGTTACGCAGCAGCACAAATTGGGAACTTATGTCCGCAAGTAATTAATGCGGCACGTGTGCTGGCAGCTCGTAATCGATCTAAAGTAGCCTTAGATAACATGGAAGTATTCCGACAAGCATGGGAGAATCAAGTCAGAGTATTGACAGAAGCTGTTGACGATATTACTACTATCGATGACTTTTTAGCTGTATCCGAGAATCATATCTTGGAAGACGTAAATAAATGTGTACTGGCATTGCAAGAAGGTGATGCCGATACTTTAGACAGAACTGCGGGTGCAATTCGTGGACGATCTGCCAGAGTTTGTAACGTTGTTCAAGCTGAAATGGATAACTATGAGCCTTGTATCTATACGAAGCGGGTTTTAGAAGCCGTGAAAGTTTTAAGGGAACAAGTAATGCCAAAGTTTGCACAGAGAGTAGAAGTTGCAGTAGATGCTTTGGGTAGTAACCCCGCTAAAGATGTGGATGAAAATGATTTTATAGATGCTTCGAGATTAGTATACGACGGAGTCCGTGAAATTAGACGCGCTGTACTGATGAATAGAGTAAGATGATTTGAAATTATAATCCTAATACTCTTATTTACATCACTCTTTTCACTTTTTATCCTGCGATTGATTTTAGGCGGACGAAGATTTAGATCCCGAAGACGTTGAGCTCGATGAGCATTATACATTGGAAACTCGTAGCAAATCGAGTGCTCAGACAGGCGAGCATGGTGTTGATGAATATCCAGAAATTAGTGGAATTACGACAGCTCGCGAAGCCATGCGTAAGATGCCAGAGGAAGATAAACAAAAGATCTTACAACAAGTGGAGTACTTTAAGAGTGAGAAATTGAAATTCGATAAAGAAGTTGCCAAATGGGATGACGCGGGAAACGACATTATTGTTCTTGCGAAGCATATGTGTATGATTATGATGGAAATGACAGATTTCACTAGAGGTCGCGGACCTTTAAAGACAACTATGGATGTCATTAATGCGGCAAAGAAAATTTCTGAAGCTGGAACCAAGTTAGATAAATTAACTAGGCAAATTGCAGATCAGTGCCCAGAAAGTTCCACCAAGAAAGATCTGCTGGCATATTTACAACGCATAGCATTGTATTGTCATCAAATGAATATTACTAGTAAAGTTAAAGCAGATGTACAAAATATTAGTGGAGAGTTGATTGTATCTGGACTTGACAGTGCAACTTCTCTTATTCAGGCAGCTAAGAACTTAATGAATGCTGTTGTTCTTACCGTTAAAGCTTCATATGTTGCATCAACAAAATATCCTCGACAATCTACGGTAACTGTAAGTATCGTTACTGTTGTCTTGTAATTTATTCAAAATTTACACTTAATTACACTTGATATATATATCATTTCTATACACGAATAATCAATATTAATATTAAAACTATTTTACTTACTAACTATTGGACTGCATAGTATGTAAGTATTTATATAATTACAATATATTATTATAGCTGATAGCTGTACCTTTTACTACTTTTTGTAAATTTACATGTGGTTATTACTTTTCCATTTGTTTAATTAGTCTCCAATCGTTGTGTGGAAAATGAAAGCACCTGAGAAGAAACCATTGGTACGACCTGAGAGACCAGAAGAGGTTAGGGCAAAAGTACGTAAGGGTTCACAGAAAAAAGTGCAGAATCCAATACACGCACTTTCAGAATTTCAAAGTCCTACAGAAAGTGTTTAAACTTGTATGTGTAAGTAATTTAATGAAAATGAAATCTAGTATACAGCATCACCTTTGGAGAGTCATAAGAGCGAGATGTTTTATTTTCTGTTCAATATAACATTTAAATGTTGTGTGTAGTTATTACTAATTCATTGTGTATTCATTAAAAAAAATATAATGAAGTTTTAAAAATTAAGTTACTCAAAGATTAATTTTGCGTTTATAATTGTGATAAAAAAGGATAATGTTCGTAACAAAATTATAATAAAAGTATTTGAAAATAAAATATCTTGCATAAAAGAAATGTTCATATTCTTTATAAATATTGATTCATAAATGTTTGAAAAGCAAAAGAGACAGTGTATGATCGTGTCAGTTTTCAGATGACATTTAATTAGATCTCAAAGATTAACTTCTTTTTCTAGAATATATGTGAAATTTAGATTTCAATTATATGCAAACAAGTGACTAAATGTCAACTATATTTCATAGAATATAAGAATGACATACAGTTTAAAGATGTATAATTTGATAACTCAGTTGATTATAACATTTTAATCGCTATGAAGTACTTGAACATTATTTAAGTAAATTACATTTTACTCCAACAAAGTTTACAATTTTTTATTACTCGTAGATATTAACAACTGAATAAGTCTATTTTTTTGCAAGCAATATCTACAGGAAAAATGTGTGACCACAATACTTAATTATATAACAAAATCTACAGTAACAATTAAGTATTTAAGGAATACCAATGTTTTTTTTAATTATTTTCTGTATCATTAATATGCAGATATTAGTTTTCAATTCTGTATTGAATTTTAATGAAAGAATATTGAATGATAAATGGTGTATGTATATGTACGTATATATGCACGACAGTTATCAAAGGCCTTACACTTTTTGTGTTGCATTATGATATAAGATTAATAGATCATTACTCGTATAATTGAAATGGCATTAAGAATGGTATGGGTGATTTAGTTTTAGTTACAAGGCTAAAATCATTTCAGTTATACGAGTATTACTGCTCTACGACTAAAATTGCTGGAAATGTATTTTTGATTATTTTGATTTTTTTGTTGTCTTCAATAATTAGATAATTATATTCGATGATTTTACTATCAACACACTTTCTTATACATATCCAGAAAAGAATGTCTCTGATTAGTAATACACATAAAAACACGTACTTTTAGTATGTTTAAATATTTGATGACCTTTGTACACAAAGGTTGTTGCTTCAAGTAATTTTAACAATAATCTTAGGCCTTGCATTTTTTCTAATATGTTACATCAATGTTAGTTTCTTATTATTATAATGTATTGTTTGACAATAATATTGTTGCATACTTTGTTATGTTTTTACATAAAGATTGCAACGATACACGTAAGAATGTCAACATTCATCCAAGCTAATAATTATATCGATGATTCCAATTGAAGTATATAGAAGTCGATTTAAATTTGTCTATAATATATAATATATTATTTCTTTACACACCCTATCCACTTTAATTTTAAATATACATTCATTTCGCATACATGTTTTTCTTACATTTTATATTAAATTTTAATGTTCTCTATTGGTTTTATGATTTGGCAAAGTAAACAAATTTTGCAATTAAACAAAATATATTAATTTTCATCGACAAGACTTACAGGAAAGCAATAAAAAATAATACAGTATTGCATTGGAATAAAGAGACTGCCGATCGAAGTATTTAACAATTGTATATAAGTAAATATGATTACACATTTTCGAAGAAATCTTGTTTACAATGGTTTTGTAATACGTATAGCCGATAAGAAGTAATTTTAAAGAAACTGATACCAATTTCATATTTATATGATGAATAAAATACTATGTTACTTATAGTAGTTTGCTTTCAATGAATATTATAAGTTGGATGCATTGCCATTATCCTTATGAAACAAATTTCTGTAATACCATAAGTTAATCAATTGACCAATTACAATACATTATTAAATTTCATTTTTATTTGTATTATGTAGTTATAAAGTAGGTACTGGCCTGCCAGAGGGCATCAATGTATTTGCAGAAAATGAGTAAAAATAGTTCCACATTTTGTACATTTTCAACATATAATATATATTGGTATCAATTTTTTACTATTGTAAGACAAATACTAATTTATATAGAAATAATTGTAAAATTAAATTGTAGTTACTGATATGCTGCCAAATATAAGGTGATGCTTTTAAAAAATATCTTTTTTTTTACCATTACACATAACGTATAGAATTATAATTTTTAGTGATATGGACTAGGAGCAGACAGGGTATATTAAGAATTTCAAATATAGTACACAGACTTGTATTTTATGTGTTTCATTTACATACTAAATGATACAGAAATAATGATACGACACGAGAAAATCGCAAATGCAAATGTTCAATGGCAATAGTATGATATAGTAATTCAATCTCGCTTAAAAAATATAATTATTCATAATTCATTACACATTACTACTACTTGAAAAAGATTATTTACCGTTTGGATTACATTCTTCTTTCTTTTTTTTTTTCATTTTAAATTTTGTACTTTTTTATGTTTCGACATATAGTTGAGATAGTATATATGCTGAAAAATCGCATGAATAATCAAGTGAAAGTAGAACACGATATTTATGCTTGCTGAACTGAATTTTACAAATTATTTTTAGCACTACAACTACAAATTATTTTATATATGTAATTCTCATAGTACTGCCTTTTATTATACATAATACACGAGACAATTGTAGTTGCTTATTTTTTAAAACCTAGATATTATCTTGTCATTATTAATATTATTATTACATACTAAATAAATACAGGTACCATTAAAATAACTCATAAAAAGAACTGATATTTTCTCAGATATTTAAATGTAAGACAATTCGAGAACATGTAAACTCAGAAGTATTATGTAGCAAAGTATTATTTATGTACTAGTTACATTGTAATTAAACAAATTCACTATTTTCTTCTACTGCTATATATATATATATATAAAAAAAAAACAGTTTTCACTGTAATACATGAACATGCTGTTAAAAATATTAATAATATGATTTAAATATTGCATGTCATTTGAATTGACACTGATTCAATGACTACAAGATACATGTTAATATAACTATTAGTATATGTTCCATATTTGGACTTTTTTTCATGATTTTATTGCAAAGAATAAAAGCATACAAACTAAATAGCTGCTTTTAATTAGTGTATTATGTCATTTTATCAATATTATATAACAAATTAATTAAATTTACACCAGATCCTGATAAACAGAGTTTGAAATCTAGAAAACAGACAACCTCTCTATACTAAGTTGAATTTGAAAATTATAGAGAAATTACTTAAATGTATGGTTAGTTTTACACAATCGATGTATTATGAAATTTGAGTCATTCTCAAATAAATCTATAAATATCTATTACATATTTCATTAGACACTACATGTACACGTTTTTTTTTCTCCATTGTTACATGGAGCCACAAGTGATAAGAGATAAGTGAGAAAATTCAAAAGCAAGATAATACGAAGCGTTATGCAATTAATGAGGTGCCTTAACTGTGAGTTATATATTCGATAAATCTATTTAATTTGCTTTATAATCACAGTTTCTGCATTCATACTAATGTATGTTGTGACTAAAATAATACAGATTTACCATATGCAATCTTACAAGATCCTGACAGTATGTCTATCACAATGCAAAAAAATGTTAATAAAATTCGTACATAAGTATGTGTTTCCAAATAGCACGTATATTATAAGTGGTGATTATTGTGTTTTAACGGTCATTAGAATATCGTTTTGTATTCTATAAGTTTAATTATTACATAACATTCAACAATTTTGTTTACTGAGAAAATATAATGTAAATGAATACTATGCAAACTTCATCTTCTTGTATTCAATTCTAATGTACTATGCTGAAAATGTATTCACCATTTACAGAATTTAGATATTATATTTCATTTGTGTATTTTAATCAGCTTTAAAGTATTGTTTTATAGAAATTTTAATTAGTTTTAATTAAAGTAAGTAAGCAGTATGACTACTTTCAACATTACTAGAGCGAGAGAAAGAGCCACAAAAAAAGTCCTTCACAGCCTGAGTAAGACTTTCATTTGAGATCTTGAAGTCTTTCAGATATATGCTGATAGAGGACCAGAATTATGACATAGGTTTACTCCTTTTAAACCAAGTAAATCGACAATAAAAATCACTGTTAAAAATTGTATCATACGATTGGATATATTAAGTATGTTTTAGCAACAAAATATGCATTGGATGCGATACATTTATCAATGCAAGAAATCACTTACATCAGTCTTAACGACCTCAGTATATTGTTCTTAGTCTGTCAGTAACACTACAGAAGATATATATCAGTATAAAATAAGTGTTATAAAAGGAACTCTTAGAGAAGTGTTTCATCTAGAAACGCATACTACATTATGAAACCTTTCAGATCTTAATAAAAGAAGCATTCTGAAAGAATTAAAAAAGAAAAGAAAGAAAAAAAGATATGCTCATCTTGGATGCAATAATTAATCATCAGGTGTACATATGTATAACATAATTCATGGAAAAGTGAATGCAATGTATAATAAGAATTAACTAGAAATTCCAAAATCTATTGGTACACAATTTTCATTTATACGCTGCCTCAATTTGTAACAATTTACACGAGATAAAAGTAGTGAAAACATTTACTTTTGGGAATAATTGTCCTTGGTTAAATAAGAAATATAAATTGCAAATTTCTGTAACAAGTGATTTATGTGTATATTATTATCGTTTATATTGACAAAAAATATATATGTAAAATTAAATGTTTATAATATTATGCAATATCTCCTGCCCATAAAAATTTGAATAGCATTTTTCTTTAATTTATGGTTATGCAACTGATTTCATTCATCTTGGATATCATATAACAGCATTACGTATTATCCACTTTGACGTTCGTTATATCTTTGTACGTTTAGTCACAGTCATTTAACTCTTAATATGATTCAGTTAATAGAACTGTGTTACTGAGGGTGGTAAATATTAGCCATACACATAGCCCATTTTTATTAACATTAAAGAAAGGAATGTATGGCTTCTATGATGATTCTGCAGTAACTTCTGGCGGTGTACTTACAGACGTTACTACTAACTTAAATGCTGGAACAAATTCAGCGGCATTTGGATTTAATGTACTCTGAAAATTGACATTGTTCAAATAAATATCCAATACGTATTCCATGGTATAATTTAAATATGTGTTATATTTGAGTTTGTACCTGTTTAGCAAGATCATCGTGCATTTTTAGGTTACTAAGTTGCTGAGAAAGTTCAGCACCATTTTCAGGCATGCTCGTAGCGGTAGACCAAGCAATAGAATTTGTATTTCTTTCATGTTGTCTCTCATCTTCCCACATTGCTTTCAAACATTCCTCTGTTAGCTCTTCTTCCATTAATTGTTGGATCACCTGTAACAATTTTATTATTTATTAAACATGTTTAATAATTATTATTTTGTACAATTTATATGCATGTTTTATTCGATCTATATTAATATGTCAACAAAATAGTTGTTACTGAACCTCTTTGTCAAATTCCTCTTCGTTTTCCATCCATAGATACTCGGAAAAATCGCTATCCTCCGTTCCTTGTACATCAATTTCAGATTCAAAGTTGTTGTCCATATAAGAGATAATGTCAGTTTCGTGACCGTAATCATTTCCAGAACCACTGTTTGGAATCTTCATTTTCATTCCAAATATATGTTTAACAGGACAGCGAGTAATTATCTATAAACAAATTGATATCTCTTTGATTTATGATAAAGTATCTATGCGTCTAGACGCTTTATTTTATATGCAGAAATACACAATACTTTTGTATACGTAGTTGTTACATCAATGTCAATCTTTAGATAATAGATACTGAAAAACAATTTACAAATGTTGAAAAATATTGGCTATGGATTGAATTATATATATTATTAGAAATATTAAAATGCGTATTTTATCAACAAAAGAGTGATTCGCTGCCTTGATTAAATGTATTGTAATCAAGAGTTAGAAAAAATAAGTATTAAACAAAATGCAACCTTGAACTCTTTTTGCGTATACAAGGCTCGCAAACGAAACGTTTAAATATGCAATTGCTTCGTTTACACATATGGTAGCATCGACTGTGAAATTACATTTTCCGTCGTAAAAACGAATCGATTTTAGTGTTTACCATTAATTTATTATTGTATGGGTAACCAACTGAAAATTTTGAACCGTTATATTTATCGCATCGTAGCAATCGGAAACGAGAAAGTATCACTTGACAGATCTGTTACAGGGCAACCATTTTTAACTGTCTACTTTGTAGTAACGACAAAGCAATATTTATTAATCTTTATTCATAATTATGTCGTGCATCTATTGTTATTACAATCGAAGATAATTCTCTACTGAACATGAAGTGTAAACTTACCTTTTAACAGTGCGTCTCTGAACGATTTGCGACAGAAAACACGATTTACGCAGTTCATGGGTAAAATACGTGTCGTGCAACACAAATTAACCCTTGAAGTAATGCCTGGGACGGTGCTGCCACCACGTACAAAAAGAGCAATGCACTCCGTGCACCAAAAGTTGATAGATATTGATTTTGATCTGGAGATTGCAATTATTAAATAAGAAGTACGCATTCAAACTTTATATTTACCAAAATTTTGCAGGACCATTTCAAGTACGCGATAGATAAAGAATTGAAAAGTCAAGTACAAGCATATTTTGTCATGTCGATAAACACAATATGTACAAGCAAAATATTATGGCATAGCATGAATATTCTTATAAAATATCTAGACGATTATACTATTTTCCGTTAACGATTATTTTTTTACGAAATTTTGATTATATTGATTAAACTATAAACGTTGAGATGCATTCGCATACCTAGAGATGTATTTATTAATTTATATATATATATATATGCATATATGCATGTATATATATTCTTTTATTAAAGAAACGGATAATAAGAAACAATATTACATTTATAAAAAAAAGACAAAACAAAGAAGCAATAGTAAATATGTAGAGTGTATTTTTATAAAATGATATTTGTAAGACCAAGCTCCTTCTTTCGAGATAATTTTGAATAGGAAAAATTGTTGTTATGTAAAATTTAATGTTACATTGCAATATGTTTTACAATTACTTTTTTTTTTGGTAACTATTTGTCGAATAAATTCTAAGAACGTATATTGAGTTATGTAGTAGGAAGAACCATCATGGCCACTGAGGCTGTTTTCAATTTGACTGGAGCGGTGTATTTACACTGAAGCGCGTGCTATGTGATTGGCCGATCCGGCTGACGTGCATGTGTTGACGTTTCATCAAAACAAAGCACGGTCGGGCGACCAAACGAGCATTTTATCACGGTGATTCGTTGTGAATGCATCGTGTATGCGCTAACAGAGTTTGCGAAAAGTGTTCGTTACCTGTTTGGAAGTGGTATATCGGGTTGTAGTGAACGAGTGCCTTCGGCCGTCATAATGTCGTCCACCGTAAAATTTACTTCGGACGAGAGTCTAGGTGGTGAGTAAATGGTCGTTTTCTAGAAAGATGCGAGCAGCTGTCAGTGCAATATCGCGGCCATTTCGCGTGACTGTAGCTGACGCATAAACAAACGCGGTCTTGCTTCCTTTTGCGTCGCAGACTTTATTATTCGTAAACCGTATTATCCTCAAGATATTTCGTGATTATATTCGTTGCGGTTTTGAATAATTAAAAGCACAGCGATGCTGCAATTCTAATGTAAAACGATTGTACATAATATCGAAGATTTTGGCGCGATTATCTTGTTTCTAACCTGATATACGCCGGTATTTTATACTATTGATAAGTTTATTCGTTAACAAATTTTTTTTGTCGAGCGATTTCTATAAACTGACTGCCGACTAAAAGTTTTTATTTCTGAAAACTTTATTTATGCGAATAAACTGTATGGAAATACGCCAATAATGAATTTCGTGTTATTCGAATATTCTATTCTGTTTTTCCTTAAAAAATTTGTTTCATGTCGTACGTATGCGTGTCGAAAACTGAAGTTTGTACTTTTTAAATTTACAAAATATTTTGTTTGCACAAAAAAATGTTATATCAACTAGTATAGCTTTTCTCTGTTCTTGTTTGTTTTTAATAGATTCGATACAATCTTATTGATTGTCAATGCTTTCTGTTGGTATTGTTGTCATAAAAATGATGGATAATTTTTATATGTTGTTACTTATATGATTTCCCGAAGGTTTCTTGTCGTACACTATAGTTGAGTGCATACATTGATAAAATGCAACAGGAGAAATGTGAACGATAAAATGAGCTAACATAAAAATGTTTTAAGGACGCCATATACATATTACTATTCGTAAATATCGTAATACAATTATCTGATTTATCGGTATGTTAGAGGTTATTTTGGATAATGTTCCGCGTTAAATAATACGTTGAATAATTAGATGAGTGTTGTATAGATTGGCTTAATTGTTTTGTCTAACGGACCCTAACAGACGAGGTAGTCGATCGAGTACAGAGATATCTTTGCAACGTTCAATGTAATCCTCAAATGCATTGTTTATTTTGCGTTATATCGAAGTGTTTGTTGTGCTGATAAAATCGTAGACAAGCCGGAAGGTGATCAATGTCAGGGAAGTCACACCGTGGCGTTATCAAGTTGTTATCGTGATTCCGTGTTTTTTTTCCATTAGGCATGGACGACAGGTAAATTTGTTTGTAAGGTTTTCTACTTTTAAAACGTGTACCGGACTTGAATTACGCTTACATCGCGCGCGACAGGCTAGATTTGTAAATGGACAAAATATGTTTTCAAACTCAAACACTTCTTGTACTTGTATTATCGTTTGTATTACACGCTGTGATGCACCCAACAATAGTGGGTCCGGGTTAATTTTCACTCGAGAACTAGAGTTAGACCAGACATCGATACAAGACAAGTTTATCGTTTCCTAAAGAATGTTTTTCCTTTCCGGGAACGCTGGTGGAAGGCTGCACAGCCGTAATGCTGCTTACGTGACTATCCTCAGGAGCATTGGAAAGTGACGTCAGCTCTCGAATTCTATTGGATCGAGAACATTTTCGTTTGAATTCTACAATTTCGTAAAGATCTTGGAATATCGTAAAGATCACAAGAATGAATCTTTTGTTCACGAAAAATTAGAAAGCCCTCGTTAATAAGAGATTATGTATCGTTGCCCTGTACGCCTCCGGAACATTTGATTGAAATGGCGGATTGATAAAAAAAAGGGGACACATTCGTGTCTATTTTTAACCGTAACGCCTGTTGGCGGACATAATTCAATTTATTAAGGCCACCTAGCCTGCCGTGATTTCATGGCACGTGACGTTTCCTGGTCATTTGTCGTGCATTAATCTTGTCCGCATCAATGGTGTCCCTCTACCAGCCGTGTGTTTCGTCGTGTGTTGAACGTTATCAGTCGATGTAATGCATTATACGCTAGTCACGAAATAATCCTCGTTTTTGCGAGAATGGATCTGTTCGGAGCTTCTGTAGAAACTTGTTGATCCGCACCTTTGCACGAGTCGCTTATCAATTAGTTAGTCAATTATAGCGACAGGTGTTGCCAGCCGAAGAACAAGTCTACAATTGTCTGGAATTCATCGCGATTTCACCCGGAACGGTAGTGAACGGTAGTTCGGTATGCTCATCGAACTTGCACAGTTGTGCAGTTTACAGCAAAGACTCCCGTGAATTTGCTTATCGCGCATTCGCTAAACAAACTTCAAGATTACAAATTTCTCAACTCATCGTCGTATTGTATAGCGCGATTCGCGTAGTCGCAAATTGCGGCGTGTTTTGTAAACTCGTCTCATGAATCACGTTAACGTCCTATTCAATCATTCGTACACTTTCCAATTCATTCTACCCCCTTTTCAATTGAACAAGGTGGACCGTTTTCGACGCGTCGGTGTCGCCGTCGCGCCACCTAGATAACTTGTTTACTTCTGAAGATTTATAATTTTATCTTTTGGTTCCAAGTGGAAGTGCCAGAGAGGTTTCAAGATTCTTGTAACGTGAATAATATATACGATGATTTTACATTACGGTATACAGACATCCAGTGCCGTTACAGGGTAGTAACCAATAGTAACCAATTGATTGACAAATATTTTGTTTCGAAAAATGCCGAAAACGTAGTCAAGTATAATAATTACTTGTAATCGTATTCGATAACGTTGATAATCGGCGTACTTATAATAAGCTGACCTTATTGTTCGATAGTCGTATCAGCGGCATCTTTTTTCTCTTTTCTTAATCGTGTATCGATGCATCTTGTTCGAATCTCATGCCTGATGATGTACGATAATGTCAATATTTGACGCAATCTCTTCATGTTTATCTTGACATTATCACGGGAAATTACGTAGCGACAATTTACTATTCCATCGAAATCGGAATTGTTGTTGTTGAACATTTTCTTTTCACTTCATTTCCCCTTTGGCAAACGTTCAATTTCGGAGTAAACGCATTAGTCGCGATATCTTAAATTTGTTGATGTCGAAGGTTTAACAAAATACGAAAGCAAAACGATCGTCTATTAGTTCGAATAGAGGATGAAAAGCGCTTACCGTTCCAAAAGTTATTATTTATTCTATCGATAACAGGTCGATGTTGATATAAATGGCGAAAAATGGATAGCAATGGGATCAAGTTAAAATATCGATCAATTTAATGGATATTCCGTAGTTGTGGCACGTCAAGTAGCAGGCGTGAGAAAAGGCACGTTTCGTTTTCTATCTCCAAGGCGAAGCAACGTTGACCGCGGTCAGTGTTAAAGAACGGACGCGTTATTTCGCGTTCCTAAGTATAATCGTTAGAGTTGGGCAACGTTTGTCAATAAGATTTATAAGTAGGTTTTGTTGTAACGTAAAATTAGTGAAAACAACACGTAAGAGGAAATAATATTCGTATCGAGTATAAGAAAAAATGGTACAACAGCTAATCGAAACATCGTATCGTATAAATGCATAATTAAACTCGGTAAATTTTCGAACAGCGTGTTATAGCTAATTATTCTCTGTGACCTATATGCATATACTCGCTCTCATCGCTAATTGCATAAGATGTGTGTGTACCTATTGAGGAATAAAAAAAAAAACTGTGAACGTGTTCACAATCGCGTAGTTCGCTTTGCATTGCAACTTTGTAAAGCGTTGAAGACGCCAAAGACTAGTTATGCGGTAGCAATTCTTCGTGTATTCGATTTATGAAAAATCGATTCGCGATTAAATTGTTTAACGTTTCTAATGACTGTATGTATTCGGTGATAAGAACTAACCGGATTAATCATTGAATACGTTGTACAGTAGGAATCATTCTGTCGTCTCTAATCTTCTATCGATACAACGATCACGCGTCGAATACATAAATTTCACTAGTTGAAGTTTTTCGATCACCGATTCAAAACAGGGTTTCGTACATTGATCAATTTTTATTCGTCGATCGGAAAATCGTTGAATTCTCCAAGACTAGAAAACGTTCTATCGAATAGAAGGCAACGATGATTCATTTCTTTCGGTTTTGTCTT